AACCACCCCCACCTCCATAACCACCATATCCACCATATCCACCTCCCCCATATCCACCGGAGCCATAGCCTCCAGGACCTCCATAGCCATTCGCTCCCCCGTAACTCCCGGAACCCCCCGAATACATCTTTATAAAGGCTTCAAGAAAGATAATAAAAAGAAATAGATCTTAACCAAATCCTAGACAAATAGAATAAACCTGTAAATATACGCACAGAAATAAACAAACAAGCGCACAAACTAATGCACAAAAGGAATTATATTAAAGCATGCATACAATTAAAAACAAAGCAAACAAATGCAAAAAAGCCGTCCTTTAACCATCCACATCACAGCTCTAAACAACACAAGATATATAAACAATAGAGACTCCCTCCCATCTCCCTTCTCCGCATGCATCAGCTCAACTTCACTGCTGCAGCAGCAGCAACATAACAGCCAAACTGCTACAGACAACAGGGGGCATACGGAGGAGATGCACGGCCTATAGGCGTTCCAGGAGCCTTAGACCCATGCACAGACACAGCCCCTGCTCCAAAAGAAACTACAAACCAAGCGGTAATGAAAAGAGAAGCGCATGCACATGCCCACAGACGCAGAGGGCGGTGGGCGACTGTGGGGCTCCACGAGCAAACAGAACGTCGAGGCAAGTTTGATGAAGCCCTCACAACAATACAGAAAAAGACCAGGAGATTAAATTCAAAACGAAAGCGACAGAGTGAGGGTTCTTAGGTAAACAACTGCCCCGACAGCCCCCAAACCCCAGGGCTGGCGGAGGGAGAAGCGGCAGGAGTAGAAGAAGGAAGACAAAAAAGAGATCCGCGTACCGCTGAATTTGCAAATTCAAGAAACTTGAATTGTGCAAGACGGAGAAAAAGGAGTGGCACAAGTAAGCGCCTTTTGAGTTGAATGCTGCAGCTGCAGCCGTAGACCCGACAGGAAAGGAAAGCAGTCGTTTGTTCAGGACCTGTGCGGGGGGGAAAGAAGAGGGAAGCAACAGCTTACTGCCTAAGTTAGGCAGAAGCAAAGCAGAAATAAAGTAAAAACAAAAAAGAAATTCTGCTGCTCATCAAAAGACGCAAACAAACCAAGCCTACGTTGCAAATGCAAACAATGCCCATATATGGCTGCGACCTGCTGCTGAGCCGTACGTACAGCCGAGCAGCGGCGTTCTGCAATTCCACTTTTTAAACTCATGAACGATAATTCATCATTTTCCTTTCATTTTGTTGTTATTACCGCACTCCTTATTAATTTATTCCAATATCTTTCTTTTTCTTTATCTACGAGACCTCCTGTGGGGCGTTTCCCAGCCCCAAGCCACACGAGAACACCGAATCTGCAAAAGATGAATGTTAGCTAATTTGCAATTAACTTTCAGGCTTTCTGAGTGTTTCTTTCTCTAAGAGGTCCTCAACGGCCAGTTCTTCTGTCTCATCTTCTTCTCCCTATGCCCCTTCGCCCTGCCCCCGTACATGCAGCTGCCTGTACACAATACAAATGCGTACACCTGGGGGCCCCTTCTTCTCACTTGCGTGGCTCGATCCAGCACCTCTGTGCCCGTGTTGATGCGCCCAAGAAGACCTTCAATTTGAACTTCCTGCTGCATCTTTCTAGCGGCCCTTCTGTGGGGGTAGAGGGGCCCCCCGGTACTGATTACTTTTGAGTTAGCTTCGCCTCAACTCTACGCCATGGGCGCCAGCCGCACCCCTGCAAAGCCAGACAGGCGCAGAGATGCAGAAGGGAGGTTCCGTTGCTACCGCTGCCCTCAGGAGTTGGCGGTAGCCAACGTACGCGAGAAATGCTGCCGTAGCTGTCTGCTGCTGCTCGTACGCAAGACTTTCGCAGCAGAAATGGCAAACTTGCGCCAGCGGCTATCTGAACAGCAGCCTCAGCAGCAGCAGCCTCAGCAGCAACAGGAGCAGCAGCATCCTCAGCAGCAGCCTCAGCAGCAGCACAAGCAGCAACAGAAAGACATTGCATGCAGTTTGAACAGCGAAGATGTCCCGCTGTATATTGCCGTATCTGGGGGGGATGCGAGTGTTTCTTTATTGCATTTGGCAGCAGAAAGCGTGGAGAAGCGTCTATCTAGGCGTCTGCTCCAGCAGCAAAAAGGGGGGGGACTAACAAGGCCCCGCGACGGTGCAGAGGGAGAGAAGGTTGGGGCTGGACGCAATGAACGCGGTTTCAATGCATGCATTGCCTTGCATGTGGACATTCAGCGTTTGTTGAGGCCCCCAGCCGCAGTGGTGACGGCGCGGGTTGCGGGGGAGAGCTGCTGCTGCGCTTCAGGTGTACAGACATCTGCTGCTGCTGGTGCTGCAGCAGCAGCAGCAGAAGACAGCGGGGTTGTTCTACAGGGTCTCGCCCCTCATGAAGGGGACAGCCTCGCATTCCAGGTTCAGAAGGCAGCCACAGATGTGGGGCCCCACGTGCAGTGTGTGCTGCTGCATCCTCTGGGCTTCTCCTTTTCTTACGTGTTGGCGAAGCAGCAGGAAGGAAGAGAGGCAGCAGCAGCAGCAACAGCAGCAGCAGCTCCCGTTGAGGTGTACAGACACCCCGATGGACGGCCCTGGGGGAGAGAAGAACTTGAACGCATGCAGCAGCAAGAAGAAAGAATGCGTCGTCTCCTCGCAGAGACGTTTGCTGTAGACAAAACAGCAGCAGAAAGACTCACCAGGGCACTCGTGTACGATCCCAAACCCTAAACCCTAAACCCTAAACCCCAAAACCTAAACTCTAGACAGACCGCACCCTTAGATCAAAATCGCATTCACAGACTCTTTTCGTTGTGCTTCTTGGCTTGGGGTGTATAGACACCGCGCGTTGCATGCTGAGGGTTTGCGGTCAGGGTTTAGGGTTTCGGGTTTAGGGTTTAGTTGAAGCGTTACTAGAATTCAATTTGTTCAGACACTCAACACGAAGGCTTTGCGGTGGCATATAAAAGAAAGTCGGGCTGTTCAGTCCAGCAGCAGCAGCAGCAGCAATAGCAGCAGCAGCAGCAGCAAAAACAGCAGGAGCGCAAAAGCAAGGCTGTTGCGGCAGCAGCAACAGTTGCTGCTTCATGGTTTAAATTGCTGCGTGTCGGTTTGTTTGTTTTGGTTCGTGTCAGGGCCAAGGTTCTGCGCGGTTACTTTGAGCGCATGCAGCAGGATTTGAGGTGCACGTACACCCCATATCTATGCACAGGAGACACTGCATCTGCAGCAGCTCTCTCCGTATTAGAACGACTCAGCTACGGGGAGGGCCGCTGCCTTGGTTTGGAGACATCAGCAATTGATGGCAGGTAGAAGCTTTTTCTATGCATCTGTAGAACAGGGGAGAAGGGGGTGGGGCTGCATGCATTCATGCATGCATGCATGCATGCATGAATGATCCTTAAGGGTTTATGCTTTAGGGTTTAGGGCGGAGTTAGGGCTGGGAAGACTGGGTGTTGAGTTTAGGGTTTAGGGTTTAGTGTATGGTTTATATTTTTGTATGGTTTAGTCTGTGGTTTAGGGTTTTAGGGTTTCGGCGTGGGGTTTAGGGTTTAGGGTGTATTGGGTGGTTTGTGCATGCATGCGCATGCAGACAGCAGCCGCTATTTGTTTTATGTCGACCTCTAGTGGTGATGGAGAAGAAAGAGTTGGCTTTATTTCGTCTGTTTGGAGGCCTCAGCACATTGAGGGTTCTGCCGTATGCATTTCATATGAATGCATGCACGGGGCTGGTGCTGCAAGACGCAGCAGCAAACCCTCTCCCTTCTGTACGGTGGCTGCTGCAGCAGTTTCTATCAGAAATGCACAGCAGCAACACCGCCACGGCCTACAACTTGAGCAGCGCAGTGAGGCGTTTAGACAAACCCCCCGACGAACACTGCGGACAAATTGCCAATAGTAAGCACCACAAACCCCTTTGGGGCTGCATGCGCATGCACAAACCAAACTCGCATGCATCAACCCTAACGCAAGACACCCCCAACACTCACCTACGGGCATACATGCATGCTTGCGTACGGGTATGCATGCGTGCATGCAATCCCCTAGGGAAGGTGTGTTTGTGCATGCATTGCATGCACGCATGCATGCATGCATGGGGCCGCTGCATGCGCCGCAGAATGCTGTCTCTGCTGGAAAGCCCCAGCATTGGACTTCGATGGGATGTTGGAGGAGGTGGGGTTTCTATCGCCCAAACAGAGACAGGTGAATAAAGACTACTTGAACTGTCTCTGCTGCTATTGCTGCTGCTGCTGTTGCTGGTGCTGCTGCTGCTGCTGCAGTACGCGTGCTGGCTTGCTGCTGGACAGGGGATTGAATACCGTGGCGAAGGGCTGCTGTGCTTGTTTGTATGCGTGTGTTTGTTTGTGTTTGCTTTTTGTTTGTGTTGCTTCGTGTTGGCGTTTTGTTTTCTTTTGGGTGTTTGTCTGTGGTGCCGCCAAGACTTGACTGTGGGGTGTATGTATGGACTGTCTTTAGTCAGATCGAGGCGCATGCATGCGCTTGATGCATGCATGCGTTTTTATGCATGCATGCGCTGCATGCATGGATGCGTTTTCTGTGCTTAGGTTGCAACGGGGTATTTGCAGCCCCGAGAAAAAGCCCCAAAATTCTGTCGCGCATGCATGCGCGACGCCACGGCAGCGGAAAGTGCTGCTGCTTTCATTTTGGAGTTTTGTTTGCTGCCTAGAGATGGGGAGGTTGCTGTTTAGCTACTGCTACCAATTGCGGTGTCTGTACAGTAATGCTTTATATCTTCTTAGCTGCAGCTGCCTCTGCTGCTTCCTTTATCCTTTTGTCCTACTTCCCTCTTTCTACAAAATGCAGTCTTAGAGGCTTCAATAGCAAATACAATGCAAGACAGCGCGCAGCCCCAGCTGCAGCTGCCTATACACCTGAGCCATCCCGTCCACTTCCCCTAAAGCTACAACCCCCTGGGCGTTTCGAGGGCCCCTTAGAGGCCCCTTTTTAGCCTCGTTTGGGGCCCCTTGGAGGCCCTCGACGGTCCCCTTTAAATGCTCATTTGGGGCTGCTTGGGGGCCCTCCAGGGGCTCCTTGAATGGTGATTTGGGGCCCTCTGGGGGACCCCAGGGGCCCCTTTCCAGCCTTCTTTGGGCCCCCGTGGGGGCCTTTCAGAGACCCCTCTACAGGTTCATTTGGGGCCCCTTGAGGGCCCTCCAGGGGCCCCTATGAATGTTCATTTAAGGACCCGTGGGGGGGCCCTCTACGGACCTCTTTGGATTTCATTTGGGGCCCCTTGGAGGCTGCTTTGGGGCCCCTTGGGTGGTTTTTAAGGCCCAGTTGGCGCCCTAAGGCAGTCTTCGCGCCTCTACAGGCAGTGCCGCTGTCTCACACTTATTATTGAATATATATATATATATATACAGTAGTATATAATAAGTATACGCAATATATATATATATATATACACCTATAGAGCAGTACGCATCTATATATATATATATATATGCATACTACTGTTATATATATATATATATATATACATGCATTATATATATACATACATATATGGCGCCTGCATTGATTAAGGATGATTATTTAGGATTGGCTTTGTGTGTCGTATGATTTTCTGCTGCCTGGTAGAAGTTTCTTGACGGAGACACTTCTTTTTAAACTTGTTATAGCCCTTTCTGTAATGCTTGTCTTTCGTTTGCTGCTGCGTCTTCGTTTAGTGTTTTGGGAGTCTGTGGTGTCTCCTTCTCTGTTGTTGCTGTCTCCTCCTCCGTTGTTGCTGTCTCCTCCATCCGATATATCAACGAATTGGTCTTGTAGAGATTGGAGGTCGAAGGAGGTCTCATCTTCAAGCTGGCAGTGATTATCATTTTGTTTGTGTGCTTGTTTATCTTGTTGTTTTCTTCCTTTTGTCTTCTTCCCTTTCTTCTTGCTGCGTCGAGACTCCTTCTGCTGCTGCCGCTGCTTCCCGTTGCTCAGCTCCTGCAGTCTCTTCGCCTCACGTGCATTCTTCTTCCCTTCTTTTATTTTGCGATACCATCTTCCAAAGCGGCTGTGTTTTATTTTATATAGCATCGACTTCCATAGGTTTCCGAGGGCCTGCAAGCATTCAAACAAAGAGAGACAGAAGTATACCCTAAAAAGAAACAAAAGGGACAGATATACACCCTAAAAGAAACAAAGGGAGACAGATATACACCTAAACCAGACAAGGAGAGCCATATGATACACCCTAAATGGAGAGGGAAATGAGGTATATACGCTCTCTACAAACAAATAAAATGCATTTGTCTCTTCTTCCTGCTAAACCTCTCTAATAACAGCTAATAAGAATAAGGAAAGAGACAACCAGCAGCAGAAACAAACTGCTGCTGCAGCGAGGAGACAGACACCGAGGAGACAGAAACATGAAGCTACTTCTAGGGCTAGTAGAATGGCAATGAAGCGGGCACCCAAACTGAAAGGAAGAGACAGCATCACTCTCTTTTCCCTAGTGCCGTTTGCTGTGTATAGCGTAGTGTGTATCTCCTTCATCCTCTGTTTTGTGTCTCCTGTTTACTACTGCGACTAAGTCTTTCAGGTGTATAGGGAGCTCCATTGTCTTGTTTCTCTTTTTGCTGTTTGGCTGCGCTAAATTCTCCTCTTTGTTTGATTGTGTCTTGCCTTCTCTAAGCATCTCTCGTCTAAGTGTCTCCTTTGGGGTGTACAGACACTCAATAGCAGCTTCGCTATAGCAGCGATATAGAAATGCCGCATGCTATGTTGTACATGGGGAGACACTTGTTTCCTTTTTGCTGGTGCTAACTAAGCAGGGGTCTCCTTTTCAGCCTTTGTTTCTCCTGTCTTCCTTTCTTTTATAGCAAAGTTGTCTCTTTGTGCGGCTTATGCTTTTTTATTATGTTTTGTTTGTGTGGAAGCTTCGCTTTTAGGATCTCTTGCTGCAGTGTATATGTGTCTGTATGTATGAGTAGGGTCATTGTGTATTGTTTGTTTTATTGCTTATATTTTTATGTTTTAGTGAGTGTCTCACCATTTCAAGCCTCTCTAAGAACTTCCAGTGGGAGCGAACAATAACATAAACAGACAGTGCGGGGCCAACAAGGGTAGCAAGAGATGCCATAAGAACAGCTTTAGAGACAACGGAGACAGCGGTAAGAACAGGTGATGCTGAGAGAGGAGGGGAGCTTAAAGAGTCTTGCGCACTTATACCCCCGCCCCCCTCTTGCACAGGTGCATCCAAACAAAACCCTAAAGGCCCGCAACTACCTGCTAGGCCTGACTGATTCGCTACACTAACCCCACCACCACCACTAGCAACCCCACCACCACCACCACCCCCAGCAGCCCCATGCAAACCCTCAGCCCGAATCTCCGCCAGAGCATTCAGCTGATTTGCAACGCTGCACAAACACAAACAAACAGAAACAAATTAGGCAATCCACACACACTTATATATGCCCATACATCCATGCATACACGCATGCATGCAAATGCATCCAGGCATGCATACGTAAGGCTCTATGCATGCATTTGCGTATGTAGGTGTATCCATGCTGGCGAATGTAGTTGCGTGCATGCATGCGGGGATGCGCATGTTAGTAGATGGAGGACGAGTAGAAGAACCAATAAAGACACAAATCACCACAACTTCTAGATGCGCAAAAAATAGAAAATCCTGAATAAAGAAGCGAGGAGCGAGGGAAGTCGCCCCTAGGCCCCCTAAACCCTAAACCCTAAACCCTTTTTGTTTCTTACGCGACAACGGAGCTAGCAAAGAAGAGAGCCAATCCCACCCATCCCATGATTTCTGCAGCTCTGTCACTTTGTCTCTTGTGTATCCACTGCCCAATCATTTGTCCAAAGAAAGGCGCTTGTGCTGAGAGGAAATTACCAAAGGATGGGTAGCTGAGGTGTCTGTACACCTGACCAGCTAGTTGGGTATGGTAAGCAAACACCGAAGCAGAACCATATCGAAGTCTTTTGAGTAATTTCTTTTGGCTGGGGGGAAGGAAATTATCAAGAAGAGTGCGGCTTAGGTCTCCTCCCGCTATAACCATTCTAAAGGAGTTTACTTGAAGAGGGTCATATAAAGAGCGCTGCCAAGTTGGGTCGCTATATTGCTTTTCTTTTGCTGCTGCTGCATCCGGTCGAGCCCATCCATCTGCTGCTACGTTCAAAGCTAATCTCCATATATGTGAAAAGAAAACAGAGAAAAAAGAACGCCGAAACTCTATTGCTCTTTCTTCACTGTCTAGCGTTCCATAGAGAGAGTCCACTTGGCTCACCAATGCAGTTAGCGGCACCTGCAAAACCGAAAAAAAAACAAACCATTATTAACAAAGCGCAGATAATGGAGGGGAGTGCATGGGGTGAGGAGAGGAAGAAAAGATAGAGAGAGCAAAGGCGGGATATGTTGTGTTGCATGTCGGTGTACATGCATGCACGCATGCATGCATGCAGTAAAAGAACCACCACAAAGAGCGGCGCTTGTTGGGGTTTACGTACAGCTGGGGGAACGGTTTGGGGGCTGAAGAACTGGTCTTGCAAGTCATCAAAAAGGGTTTCTGCTGCTCTTTGAAAGACGTCTGTGGAGGCGAAGACGGTGGGGTTGTTGTGATAGATGTTAGACAATTCCTTTAGGAAGAGGGCGACCTTGGGATAATCTGGTATCACCGCAGCTAAGGTGGCGTGTTGTGCTTGGAAAGGAGGCATACGAAGGAGTTTGCTGGCAGCTTTAGAGACTTTCTCTTTAAGCCGACGGAAGAGGCTCTTCTTGTTTTTCCCTAAAGATGTCTCCTTAGGATTAGTAAGGAGACCCACAAGCAGCAGATTGTCTCCTGCTTGCTGCAGCAAATGCATCGAATCCCGTAGCAGCTGAATGAAGTATGAAGCACGAGATGCACACTGACATGAAACCCACTGCTGCTCTCTCATATCTTCCTGTTCGATCAATATACCCATATGCCGCTCAAGTGCTTCCTTTAGTTTGGTGTTTAAAGCATTTGTTTCAGGGGGAGGCGCTGCAAGGTCGAACCCTAATAAATCTCTTGTCTCCGCTTGCAAACCCCTCCTTAGCTTCTCCTGCAAGTTATACACCCCAAAACAAACGAAGAAATAAATGCATAACACTGTGCAGGCAGCCATTTCAACCCAAGAGAAAAAACCAACAGAAACAAAGCATCCTCCAGCCACCTCTTATGTACCTGCTGCTGAGGTGCAGCAGCTGCAACTCAGCAGCAGATGCAGCAGCAGAAGGAAGGAGAGAGAAAGAGACACCAAAAAAGCGAATGTAACCATCAAACAACAGAGACAGAAGCAGGTGCACACACACCAAACGAATAGGGCTACGCAGCATCTCAGTGGCCTCCTTCGCTTACACAACACACAGGTGAAGGGCAGAGTCAACAAAAAACCCCAAACTGAAACTGCATGCACGTTGCATTATCTGTAATGGCTGCATGCAACTTGTTTAGTGGGGCTGGCCTCCTCGCATGTTACCTGGGCCTTCTTTGGCATTCCGGTGTACGTCCACCCCTCTATAATTGCGTCTAACTCTGCAGAAATGCCTCCAGGATCTCGCACTGCACCCGAAGGATTGCTGTAGAAGGCAGCATATTGATTTAAATGAAGAAATACATCAGGATGAACAACAGGCTTAAATGCACTTTGTAGCGCCTCCCACGCATCTGCCGAAAGCTGAGACTTCAGGACTGCGCCAGCAAAGAAAAGCAGCATAAATAGAGAAGTTACTTTGTGCGTGTACATACACCCTACCCCAAGTTGAACGGAAGTACAGCCCCACAACACTCAAAAGATAAACAAATCATTCATTTCTTGTTATGGTTACGCATCAACGCATCACTCTCAAACACAGAGGCAAAGCAAAATTTACACAAAGTAAATATCTCTTTCACGCATTCCCGCCCATGCATTCCTCTGCATGCATGCATGCATGCGTGCATGCAGCCGTGTATCCATGCGTACAATGCTGCACGCATGCATGCAACCTTGTATGCATGCATGCAACCTTGCATGCACACACCCAACCGTGCATGGACGCATGCACCCCGGCATGCATGCATGCGGATTTGCATGCATTGATGGAAAGTGTGGGACATACACCGGACGTGCGCAGTTGTGAGTTTGTGTTTTTTCTCGAAGATGGCGAATATTTTCTTCAGAAGACTTTTCTTGCTTCTTCTCCCCATCAAAAGATAGTTAGCTCGGAACCCATTTAAGCCATATATGGCATCTGCAAAAAGGGAATAGCAGAGTGCATGCAAGAATAATCAAGATGGAATATAATATAACAAGCAAAAGGTAATGCAACAGTGCAGGTCCATGGCGTTTAAAGTATTTGGTTTCAGACACCGCAACGAAATGAGCCACGAAAAACCCAAAGAGGAAGCAAAGACACAACAATGAACCCTAAACCCCGAACCCTCGATGAAAGGGTGGCAGCTCACCTCTGTTGGCAGCACCTTTCTTCTCAAATTCAAAGAGACCAAACCACTCGTTCAGGACCAGCAACGATCGGATCCAGGGGCTGTACAACCCGAAGTGTTCGTACACATCAGGATGAGATGTTATGATTGTGAAGGGGTGCAGCTTTCGCCAGTCTTTGCAAAGCTCTTCTACACAGGGTTCTTGCCTCGCCAGCCACCCTAGTGCATGTGCTACGTCAACCCCTGCATGCAGAAAACCCATAACATGTGCATTTCAGGTGTACATCCACCGCAGCGCAGTCCCCGGCATAAGCCCTAGTAGAAATGCATGCGATTTGTCAGGCTTTCTGTCGTGTGTGCATGTGGAAGGGGGGGGGGCTTGTAAGCTGCAGCATTTCGTCTTGCGTTGCTCCTTTCTGTGTTGTTTGTGCATGCATTGCTTGCTGATATCTTCTTCTTCTAGATGGAGAATAGTTTTCTGTTTCGGGGCTTTGCTGTTGTGTGCGTTGCAGGTAATAGTCTCACTATCGTCGAGTATCCTCCAGGTATTTTCAAAGAAGTTGCAATGATATAAAGCGATGTACTTCTCGCAATTCAACCTTTTCCATTGTTTTTCGCTCGTTGCTGCCGTGCACTTCACTGCGTAATCCATCGCTGACTTCGCTCTCTGCTTCTTCAACTCCTTTTGAAAACCCTTTGTCTTCAGCCGGTCACAGTATCCCCGGTCTACGCAGCCACAAACACATACACACAGACACGCACACATTATGCAAACTGCCCCATGCATGCATGCTTACATGCATGTAAACTAATGCATGCATGTAAGCCAATGCATACATGTGAGCCAGTGCAAGCATGGATGAATGGATGCATGCATGCATATTTGTATAAAAGGGTTTGGCGGGAGTTCAAGTTTTCAGGCTGTTCATACACCCCAACCCTGAAATAAACATAAATGGGGAGTTTCGGTTTGCAGTTTTTCTGCATTTCCCTGGAAACCCGCTTGCACTTTCTCCTTTTTAAAAAGAAAGAAAAAAGTGCAAGCAACATCTTGTTAAAACGATATTGCAAATTTCATTTTAAACCACTTACTCTTTTGAGTCGCTTGAACAATTGCGTCGTACGTACGCGGGTCCTCTCGAAGGCGAAAGTCTGACCCTGCGGGCGCATTGCATCCACACACCTGCGTGCATGCATGCAAGTGCATGCAAATGCATGCAAATCACTGCATGCATATCAGGACATGCAGATGCATGCAGATCAATGCATGTGAACCAGTGCATGCAAATGCATGCAAATCCATGCATACACATAATATAGGTGTATTTCCATGCATGCAAGTGCATCCAGCTTGTGCTTAGATGGGCTGAAGGGGTGCATGCAGCTGGGGCCAGTGGGTATCTTCATGCAACTGCATGCATGCATTGACGTTTGCATGCAATTGCACGAAGGCAAACGCGCCCGGTAGCTGCTGCTGTCTCCTGTCCGTTCTATCTTAGCTTTGAGCCGATCTTCCGTTTTTTCCGTCGCCTTTGCATTATAGACAACACTACGAGTTGCATACAACTGGACATGCGACGTAATATGGATATATATTGTTGTTTCTTCATGGATTTATATATATATATATATGTATACAGACATATGCATATATATGTATATAGAAAAGTAGATATACATACACAAATACGTACATATATATATATATATATATGCTTGTGCGTACGTAAATATTTACATATACATATACATATGTATGCCTAGATATATATATATCTCCTTCATTCAATGTAGGACCTACACTCTGAAGACAGCTCGGTCATTATGGCTGGAAGGGCCGTCTCCATCTCCGCTGCATGCACCCCAAACGCATCCCACCCCGACAATTCTGCAAGCATGCATGCATGCATGCCTGAATGCACGTGTGCACGCTTTTTTGTATGCATGCAGGTGTTTTTTGCATGCATGCGTGCACTGGCAACAAGGGCAGCAGAGGCCTAGCTGTCTCCTTTTGGCTGTTAGGAGACCAATGAAGTGGGAGGAGGCCGCTGTTCTGTGGATTGTAATACGACGGGGGGAAGGCACACAGACAAGGGGTGAGAGAAAAGGAGACAAGCACAAGAAAAAGAAAACAAAATAATTAAGGCTAATGAAAGAGAAGATGGCAATTCAAAGACAGCAGGAGAGAAGGGGATAGAGAGGTAGGGAAGAGAAAGAAGTTGGTGGGAGAGATAGCTCGAAAAAGCCCCAAGAGAGTGCATGCAACAGAGATATGGAGACACAGCAGCGGCATCAGCGGAGACACAAGGAGACCTGCGAGGAGACAGACCCGTAGCTGCAATGATGTTGAAGTAGAAATTTAATTTCTCTCGATCGACAACCAAGCTGCTTGTTGCTTGATGCCGAGGCCACACTATGGGGTCTTGTGCTCCTTGCACAAAACTTGTCTCTGCCTCGACTTCATTTCCACTTGCTGTTGAGGCTTTCCGAGTCTCTCCTCTGCCTCCCCCTGTCCCTTCATGCTGCACCTTCTCGTCAGCTGCAGGATGAGCCGCAACACCGGAGCCAGAGGCTTCGGCTTCCTGCTGCTGCTCCTGCTGCGGTGGGTGCGCCTCCTCCGGCTGCTGCGGATACTCGTGCGTCTGCTCGCGCTCGTGATGCTGCTGAGGCTGCGGATGCTGGTGGTGCTCCTCATGCTCGTGCTGATGCTGCTGCGGATGCTCCTCCTGCTGCTGCTGCGGGTGCTCCTGCTGCTGCTCATGCTCGTGCTGCTGCTGCTCCTGCTGCGGATGCTCTTGCTGCTGCTCATGCTCATGCTGTTGATGCTGCTGCTGCGGATGCTCTTGCTGATGCTCATGCTCATGCTGCTCATGCTGCTGCTGCGGATGCTCGTGCTGCTGCTCATGCTCGTCCTGATGATGCTGCTGCTGCGGATGCTCGTGCTGCTGCTCATGCTCGTGTTGTTGCTGCTGCTCGTGCTGCTGCTGCTCGTGCTGCTGCTGCTGGGGCAGCAGGAGGAGATCGTTTACGGAGCAGGGGTCGGATCCCTCGAGGATAGCGGGTGAGGGGTTTTTGTGGAGACCAAAGCACAGTCTCCTCAGGTTTACATCCGGTGTGGTGTTTAGCTGCAAGGGAATAGCCAGTCGTTTGCCTTCTCTTGGAGGTTGTTGGTTTATCAGCTCATTAAAAAACGCCAAGCCCCGTTCGTAGCCTGAACGCACATGCATGCATGCATTCCTACTGCATGCATCTTCTTGCCCAACCACGCATGCATGCATGCATGCATGCGCGCTTCCATGCATATTTACAGAGATGCATTTAGAGGGCTGAAAGTGCCGCTGTGTTCGACAGCATGGATGCCCAATAAAGCAGATAAAGGAACCGAAGCAGGGCAATTAGGGGCTGGCTAATCCGCATGCATGCATGCATGGCGGCTGACTGCGTTGGGCAATGAGGACAGCATCCTCAAGGAGGTCGCATGTAAGGCGGGCGTAGCCGGCACTGAATTGCTGGCGCTGAAAGAAGACCCTGGGGACATAGAGGAGACTCTCGGGTAGGCGGGGATTTCCGAGTTGTTTTTGGAGTTTAATCTGACAGAGTTTATCCAGCTGCATCCTTCTAGCAGCAGCAGAACTCGAGAGAAAAAGAAGCACCCGTGGGTAGGGACGAACACGAGCCGAGCGTCCCCTCCCCACAAACAACTCCGAGAAACGAATATGAGCCAGAAACAGCAACAAAAGCCCCATCTTCACTGCATGCACAACGCATGAATGCAAACATGCAAACCCACGCTTTTAGACGCAAACAAATGAGCAAAAGTTCTGCTGCTCAAGTCTTCTATGCCTCCACAGGTGCATGCATACAAGCATTCATTTAAAAGCCCTAGCATGCATGCATCTGCTACTACGGTTGAATTGGGGCTTTAAATAGAGGCCTGGGGAGGTTTCAGGGCGTCGCGTCCCCTAGGGTTTGGCGTGGGACATATATTACGGTTTAGCGTTTAGATGTGCGTTTGTCTTGGTGGGGGTTTAGGGTTCTTTGGAGTTACAAGTGGGGTTAAAGGAGGCAGAGAGGAAGATCTGCGATTTTGGCTTTTTGTTGAGTAATGCGTCAGTGAGGTCCTTCGCAGCAATTGTTACGGGGGGAGCTTCAGGGAGGTCGTCTGCATTAGGCTTTGGGTTTTCTCTAAAGAGGCAAGAGACAGAGAGAAACACTTGTTGCATGCACTGCATGCAGCAGGTGTCTCCTTCAGCCTATGGATACCTCCGCGCCATAGCCTCGTGACTCATTAACTTTTCGTTTGGAGGGTTGGAGGACAGAGAGACAGAGAGACGGGACAGAGAGGCATAAAGGATTTAGAGTTTAGGGTTTAGGGTTTACGGTTTGAAGGAGACAGCTGGGGCTTGCCTGGCTTGTAGCAAAGATGTTTCAGCGATAACTTCTGGGGGTGTCGCTGTGGCGCCCTCCTGATTGTCTCCCTTGAAGCCCCAATGAACAAATGCCTCTTTTAGTGCATCTTCAGCAGACTTTCCCTCTTGAAAGGACCTAAAAGGTTGATAGAACACCATGAGGTCGATGTAGAGGAGAAGACGAGTAAAGAGGCGGGAGCAGAGGAGACGATCCCCACCGGTCGATCCCACGAGAGACTCTTCAAGCTGTACAGCCGCCTCTTTCGCCGCCTCCACCTCCCTCATGTTGCACCTTAAAGACGCAACAGCAGATGCAGCAGAGGCAGAGGGGCAGTCCCCACTGCGCTCCCTCAGGCGCATGCAGCCTTCTTGACCTTTATCTGCAGCACCCCACAAACCCTAAACCATTGAACTCAAACCCTAAACCCCAAATGAAGGGAATACAAGCTGCAGCAGCTAAAGGACGCGGCAAACAACAAGAAACAGACAACAAACAAACAACAAATCACCAGGAGAATTCTTGGCATTTCCACCCGTTCTGCATGCATGCATGCAGGCATGTGTGCAGGCAACTTTGAGGCTGTTTACGTACAAATGAAACAGAGCCTTACCTCGCAGGGCCCCGGCAAACCTGGTGGCCCCAAGCGTCTCCTCCAGTCTCTGCAGGTTATCCTGTGGCGTAGTTCCTGAAAGAACAGCACGAGCGCGCACACATCTCTACATGCATGCAGATGCATGCAGATGTATGCGGGAAATGGGGCTGGGTTGAGGTGTACTGACAGCTCACCTTCAACCGGAGCAGCCGGATCGTAATGCTTTCCTCGACCCAGTGGCTTCGACCCCGGTCGAAACATATCGATGCCTTCGAGGAGGGCTGACAAACAGAGTCAAACAAAGCAAAGCTCCAAAACACGCATGCAGGCATGCATGCATGAATGCATCAATGCATGCATGCCTTGATGCTTGCATGGATGCATGCGCTCACAAGCAGGCACTTGCATGCAGGCCTGCATCTCAGCCCAAAAAACTCACCGTCAAGTTGGTCCGAGGACATCTCTTCTGCAAACAAACACAAACACCTCAGACTTCAGGTTATAATATATGGACCTTCAGGTTTCGGCTTATCTTTAAAGTAGCCGGAGGGGCCCTAACAGAAGATAGCAGCTGCACAGAAAGAAGGCCTGAAAATGGCAGGAACTTTCGGGGTTCCCTGCGTGCATGCATGCATGCATTCATGTAGGCGTGCAGTCCTACCTAGGGTTTCCCTTTGGGGTTGGTTCGGGTCCTCTTGGGGAGGCCCCGACGCTGCGTGTGGATCTTCTCCATGGGGAGCAATAGGAGCAGCAGTAGAAGGTCCTGCAAGAACGAAGCTGACGGGAGATAGAAGCAACGCAGCAGCAGCAGCTGCTGCTGTTGCTGCCCCGAAGGCCCCGCTGAGTCTACTGCTGCTCATTGCGGTGTCTGTACTGCCTTTGCCTCTCTTCGCCACTCCTTTGATTTATATAGGCTTAACGAATATCAACAAAGATGTTTACACTGCCTGTACACCACAAAGTCGCCAAGGAAAGAAGGCGAGAACCAATGGAATGGAGCCCAATGGGGCCTGGAATCCGATCCCCATTCCTTCTCGCCGCTCCTCCTTTTGGAGCGTTCTTTGAGGATTTATTGTGCAATATTACAAAAGATATTTCAATCAATTAAAAAACAAATGAAAGAAAACACAAAACAAGGAACCGCCTCCGAGGTCCTTCGGTGTTCGTTCAGGTTAGCAGTGAGATGGTGGCGGGCGCGTGATCGTTTGCTCTGCCTAATCTTTGAAATTAAAACAGATAATTAGACAAAAATACAACAAATAAACAAAACAAACGCTTTATAGAAGTATATCGCCAAGCCCCAAGCGAGCAAACCCCTCAATGGAGGGGCATGAAGGCCTGAGCGGGGGCCTTGAAGTAACTGTGCTGCTGTCGTCGGCTGCGGTCTCCACGTTTATTTTCGTCTGTCTTGCTCTATTTGTTTCTTTGAACAAAATTGCAGCGAAATATAATTAAAACTAAACTCAAAGGAAGGATTTTCAGGTTTCTTATTCTCTCTAAACATGACGATATGATAACGGCCCTGTGCAGCCTACGGGGTGTCTGCGGCGGTCATACTGCCTGCGCGGTACACATTTCTGGTTTTGCCAATCAGTTATAGTTCATTTTCATTTTTATCGTTATTTTTAAACCTCTTTTGCTTTATTATTGTACACTTCTTCCATCATGCGCAGCAGAAGACCTACCGTGGTGCTGTAGGTGGGGGCCTCTTTGGTCGCCGTTGTTCGTACGCCTCGCGCGTAATGCTGCCTCCAAGCACAACCGCACCGTTCTGAATAACAATAATAATAATATTAACAATAATAATAGTAGAAATAATAATAGCAGTGCAAACAAACTTTTTCCCCTTCAGTCATAGGCGCAAACCAACAAGATGCAGCCTCCAAACTGGGGTGTACGTACCCAGGTAAGCCTGAGAAGAAGCATTTGGGGTTCTTCTTTTGCATCTCTAGCAAGGAGACATAACATGTACCAGAAAAAGACCAGTTTACTAAGACGACTATGGATATACAAACCGAGAGAAGGCACCAACAACAACACCAGGAGGGAAAAACTGTAAACATCCCGTTTAATGAATAAACTTCGTGGGAAGCAGCCTGCAATACGGGGCAATACAAAGGTGTGTGAGTTGCCTCATGCATCAGAGAGAAACAACTAAGCAACACATTTTAATTACAAGTGCAGGAGTGAGTCTATAATACATTATGATACAATTTGTTAGGTGCAGTAGCTGGGGATATACGTAGAGCCACAAACATGGAAACTAGAAATCTATCTTTGCAGTCTTCGCCTCCTCTGCGAGCTCAGCGTCACAAGGAAGAAGCAGCAGCTCTTCTTGGTTCATTAATTGAAGTCCTGAGCTCTTGCATTTAGAGAACCTTTTCATGTCAATGACAATCGCCAGCCTTAGCTAGCCAGGTTGCGCGCTCGTGCCCACCTAGCACTGTACAAACGCCGCCTCAGTGCTCTCCTACTCACCTCCTGCTACTGTTGTTGTTGCAGCTGCTGCTGCAGCTGCTGCTGTTTGTGCTACTCCTGTAGTTGCCGCTGCTGCACCTGCAGCAGTTGGTTTGAGCTGCATTCTTTTGCCTTCCGCTTATGAGTGAGTATTTGGCTGGGGGTGGAAGGGAGGGGTGCGGCGATGCAGTAGATGCAGGAGCAGCAATAGCTGTAGTAGTCTAGAAGTAGCAGCAGCAGCAGCAGCAGAAGCAACGAGAGTACTCACAGCAGCAGTTGCAAGGCCTAACGCAGTTTATTGAAAACAACATACTGCTAGGGATAAGTAAGCATCGGAGTATCTCTCCTGCAGCAGCAGCTGAGCCACAAGTAAAAGCAGCAGTATAAGCAATAAATGCAACGAGGACAGCAACAGCTGCACGAGGAATTGGTAGTGTCTGTACTGTTGTGGATCTGGAGACCGAAGGAGACAAACTCGAAGCTATTCCCTCTTAACTCTCTTATTGCTGCTTCTCATTATTTGGTATTTCTCTATTTATTTAGTTGTAGCCTTCGTATTACACAAGCGCTGTCCTGAGACGCTGCAGTGCCTCCTCCACGGCAGCTTATAGAGCCTCGAGATTATTTGCATGCGTTTCTGATGCATGCAGCAACACCAAGCACCCCAGTTCATGAAGCAGTGCTGCTGTAGATACATCTCATATCTGCCTATAAGCCAATTCCAGACAGACCCCCCCTTCCAGCGGTACTGAAAACTTAAAAGAGTGAGGTACAGTTATGTGAACAGTTGTTCTGTATATACACTCGAGATGGAGACAACCGGAGAGGTTGGTGCATTTCGTCTGTTTCTCCTCCAACAGGAAGAGAAGCATCATGCAAAGATTCAAGCATAAGCTGATGTTATGCATTTAAATACAGATTAATAAGCCCGAGGTGGCTGGGTAGCAGCGACACCTACTGCCTCAGCAGAACTCATGACTGCATCTTGTTGCAACAGTGCTGTTGCTCTCTCACTGCTGCTGATGCTTCTGCTTGTGCTGCTGTTGCTTGCTTTTGCTGTTGTTAGAGTCCCCGGAGGGAGAAGACGCAGTACTACTCGCTGGAGCAGAACCACCGGCAGCAGCAGCGGCAGCGAGCGATCGTTACTGCTGTTCCTCATCGAGGAAGTAGACCACAATAGTTTCCCATATTGATAAAAAAGCAGCAGCATGAAATGACGCTGCCGTTGGATATTTTGGGGCTGGCAGTAAAACTGCTGCTGTTGCGACGCCTTCCAAGCAGCGCAGCATGCAGAAGGGAGCACATCGCCAGCACTATAAAAGCAATTATCCTTCAAGTACTGCAGAGATGTTTCTTTGTTTTTCGTGTGTCTATGGATTCACTCTTGCTGGGCAATATCTTCATACGACACGCGTACAGAACACCTGCACAGCTCCTCAACAGGCTTTCCTGGGTTCTGCCGCCTAAAGTCATCGACAATGGCCTTTACTGAACCCACAGCACGGCTCCTATTGCTCCAGGGAGATCCTTGTAGTGATGATAGTAAAGGCCCAAAGTCTAAAGACCCTTCATAGACAACAACTGTATAAGTGTGCCGACCACTGCCCTTTGGAGGATGGATATCCGCGTAGTCGCCACCTGCGCCCACAGGTCCAAAGCGGAAACTTGAGGGAATAGTAACACCATTTACAAACCCGTGCGTCCAGTAACGAGCGTCCTCATCAACGAATATAGCAGTGGCGGTGGTTTGCTTTGCTCCTTCCCCAAGTACCTCAACAACAGGAGACGCTGCGTATCCTCCAGGAAACGAAACAGTGCAGCTAAAGGAACTCCGCGCAGCAGAATTCCCCAAGAGAGAAGATTCACGCAGTTGGTCCTCTAGAAAAGCCAAATTGAAGTCGGCTGCATCGTCGCCATCCTCTTGTTGGTATACAGCATCATCGGTAACTGATTCTTCTGCATCCAGCGCCTCCCCTTCTCCTGTCACTGCTTCCGTTCTTTCTGCTACTTCTCTTGGAAAGTCGGCATCAAGAAAAGCTGGATATTCCTTTAATAGGCCCCAATGGTTGCTTGGAATACCTCTGGGAAGCACTGTCACTGCCGAGACCGAGGCAGCGTATGCCATAGCGAGGGAGACCGCAATACAGGCTGCCTTGAGGGGTCTCCGCAAAAATATTAGAATTGCCATGTTGGGAAGCTACCAGAGTAGAACGAAAAAAAGCAAGGAGAATAGGAGTCTGCTGCTGCAGCAGCTAGCCCAAAGTGACCCGCGCAATGTTGCTTGTCGCCTTCCGTGTCCTTTTGAGGTAAGTTTCCTGCATACACCTCCTATATGCGTGTTCAAAAAAAAGAATCTATTCACAATGATGAAACAAAAAATGTGCTCCCGAATTAAAGCGCAAGACCGAGGCGAGGTGCGCTACTGCCAGCCAAATCGACGGCAAGGTCTGCAATGGGAGGGTTGCGAGAGCAGCACTCGGGTAAGTCATCAGATATCAAAATCTGTGTTTTATTATTTACCTTTTGAACAAACAGAAAACTTCACTTCAACAAATATGTTCTTTTGCGAGACAGAAATGCAACAACACAGCTACGCACGCACCGCTGGCCCAGAACACTATACCACTGCAGTGTGCCCGGCATGCAGGCGCGTCCCTGGAGGCCGTTCGCTACACTTCCATCTCTAATACTTTCTTATTAATATACCGAATACTTTTAAGTGTTTTATATTATGTACAGAGGAAGGGAAACAATGCATTGCACTCGATATAAGAAACGCAGTAACGAGAAAGCTCGCCAACGAAGGATGCGTCGTGGTACGCACAATGTGCAGCTCCACTTTGAAGCCTAGAAATATTTTGTCTAAAGGGGGTTTGATGCCCTAAATGCTCGCATAAGGTTGCGTGAACGCCGACAAACTCGGCACAATGCAGCGAAGATACTAACCCAACGTGGAGGGGTTCGAAGTACAGCGCAAACTCCTACGGGAGGAGCACTACTACGACTATTGAAGAGCTAATAGCTTAGTTAGATGAGCCTTTAGCTAGCTCGCAGGCAGCGCACGATTGAGACAGGTTCGTATTTAAAGAGGAAATCATGAACTGTCCGATAGCTACGCATGTCCCTTCTAAAGAAACTTGCATGCAATGCAGCCCCTCATGCGGCTAAGGACCCCCCAAATCTATGCAAAAGTCAGTTGGTTACAACTAGCCCATGATTGGGGTGCATACAACTTCCTCCTACTCAATATTTTTCGAAAGACAACATAAATCCTATAATACGACCTCTAAATCCCTCCTGCCTAAGCCCACAATAACCTCAACAGATCTCATCGTTTTTTAGTGGGGTGATTCCGGCCTAGTGGCAATGCCGCTACTGCAATTTTTGCAGCAGGCGTTTTCTCTATCCTGTGCCTCGCTAAGACGAAGGCGAAGAGATCTCTGCATCTCCTGAACTCGGCCTCCTACCTCACTTAAGGTCTCTTCGTCTTGCTGTTGGTGCTGTTGTGACGGCGGAGATACGCAAAGAGAAAACGCTGACCAGGTCCCTTGCCAATAGGCAGATGCTGGTTGCAATGACTCAGTTGCTGCTTTTTCTGTTGATGATGCTGCTGTTATGCTCCCTGCCACCGTCAGCAACTCCTCCACAGGGAAGCAAAACTTGCGGTGTAGTTCAGTGTCTCCACCTTCGATGCCTGTGCCGCCTGTCACAGCTGTCTCTCCCCCTTCCTCTTGCTGCTCCTGGTGTTTATGTAGTCTCTCCTGCTGTTTGATTGGGCTCGATCCAACATGTATGTAGTGTCGCACGAGCTCGGCTACAGTGTTTGCTGCAGCAAGTCTGAGCCGAGGGTATTTTCGCTGCCGAAGATACTCTCCAAGGCGTGTGAAGACAGCCCACCACTCCTGGGGCTCCGCCACGGCACAGAGGCAAACAGAAAGCCTTGTCAGCAAACAAAGGAGATCGGAAAGCCTCTATAAACAGCAGCACCAGCAAACACACTGTAAAAGAAAAACAGGTGCAGCAGCAGGCATATGCCACCACCCACCACACTTCCGCTGCAATGCAACACAGCAACACGCCTGCAGCAACCCTGGTGCTATTTCCTAGTAATACTGAAATACAATCCGCATAATTACACGGATGTTTAGCTTTTTGAAAACTTCATTAATCCTCTACAAGCATTCTTAGATGTATTTATAGCCTCAAGCTCTATTTAACTGTGTACAGGTACAAACAACGGCTTGCCCACACCTACTGCAGGACCAGCAGCAAGAGGGAACGCGCCTATGACTCAGTGAAAATGGAAATAATGAACAGCAGCAAGGTATATGCGAACCTGCAAGAGGTCAACTTTGAGCTGTACAGACGTCAACTGATACCTAACGAACAAACCCAGGAATTCCTTCACACCGGCATGTCCGGTGTTGCTGCTGCTGCGGCTGTTGTTGTTGGTGCTGCTGCTATCGCTGCTGCTGCTATCGCTGCTGCTGCTATCGCTGCTGCTTCTATCGCTGCTGCTGCATTTCCAGGCGGTGAAGACCATGACGCCTATTTCGTCTTCTTTTGTCGGCAAGCTGATCCACGAAGCAGCTGAGAAAGCGGCAGCACCTGCTGCTTCCGACTCTAGGCTGTCTGTGGTATTGTCAGGAACAAGCATACGCATGCACCGCATAGCGACGGCTGTAGCTACAGTAGCAGAAAGAGTAGTACGACCTATTCGAACTGGAGGATCTACACAGCAAAGCTGCTATTCAAGTACCTGCTGCTTCGTCTGCTTTCATATCGCACTCTACACCAAGTCGAAGACAAAGATCAGTCCCAAGCAAGCGCAGCAACGCCAACGTTCCTGCCCGAAGTGCAGCTTCATCACGGGAGTTCAACTGCCCGTTGTTGAGGTAACTTGATGTTCCTCCTTGTTTCGCAGTCTCCCCTTTCTCTAGACCACCCTCCTCTGTCGACTCATCCTCATCAGGGGAACCCTGATCAACCCTTTGCAAAACCTATAAGGGTCACATACAGACACCAATGCTCGCAGTACCTTAAGGACGGGCCTGAGACCCTCAAGAGAGAATGCAACACACTTTCCACTAGATGCAAGTACAGGCAGGTTGTTTGGTGCAAGGCATACGGAGTGAACAAGGGCAAGAAGTTCATCAAACGGCTGGGACGCGCGAGTTGCAGAAGGCAGCAACTTTAGCCACGTGGGGATGTGCGCCACGACCGCTAGTTTATCGCTAGCATGCAATCGCAGTAGACGCTTGGCGACGGTAGCGCTGCTGCTGCTTGCTGCAGCTTGCGCATCGGACTCGGGTGCATGCTTCGTTCCTGATGCTGAAGAGCCACACAATCTCTGCAGTGCGAGCAGTCCGTCCAAAGCAGCGCTTGCATCTAATACAGCGATGTACAGTGGCGCCACGCCCTTAAAGGACGCCTGGCCCTGTAGCAGACGCCCTGTTACGGCCTCTTGCAGATCCCTAATGATGGACACTTCTTGCACATCTGCAAATTCTCTGGAGAAAACCAAACAGTACAAAAAGTAAACACGCAGTAAATCTAGCAAGCAAGCCGAGAGAAAGCTGCCAGGAGAGACTGAAAGCATGCAGAAACACACAGAAAAAGCCTTAAACCCAAACCACCAGCCTCTCGGCTTATCCCCCAAAGCCTCCATGAACGATCAAGATACAAGCAGTTAGTATAGTGCTTATGTGGACGTACGATGGGAGCCCCTCTCTCCAGATGGAAGCGACGTGGGCAGCTATTGTCGAAACAGCGCGAGCAGCAGTCAGCCTCTCTTCCCGCACTGAAAGAGCCAGTTGCTGCTGTAACTTGGCCTTAATAGAACAGAGAAATCGGGGTATTCCAAAGGCATCAGAGCCAGCAACTTCTGTCCAGAGGTCCCTATACACCTCAGAAACGCCTGAGTTACTGCTGTGGCGAAGACAAAAAGCCAAGGCTCCAATAGCTCCCTTCAATTCTCCATTAAATAGCTCGCTGGCCCGCCTGTGGAGCCAGGCAGACGCACAAGTAAAAGCAAAAACAGCAATCAGAGTTACAGAGGCAGTGACAGCTCAAGGGCAATAGCACATCCATCCAACTGGATTTCTGCTTGAAAATGGAGCATATACTCTGGCAATAGGTTCATAAAAAGCTTGGCAAGGAAGGAAATAGAAGGGGCGGGAAGGCGAATTGAGTGGATCTTTGGACACAGAAAAAGTCTCTCTACCTGGATACGTGCAGAAGGGCATTCCCTACACCCAGCTGCGCCTCCTCTCTCTCTTGAATGTTGATGCATTCAGCTGGTGGCAGCTGCAGTAGCTGCTTCTCTAGAACCTAAACACAGCAAGACAAACGACAAAATATTGAGGCACTTCGGGCACAAGCGAATGGTCATAACTACCTACTACGAAAGAATACGAAAAAAGCAACAAAGATGAATACGGAGAGAAAAGAAAGACGGAATCCAATGCAGACAGGCAAAAATGCATGACAGATTAAGCCGGAAGGAAGACAGTTCCATCGACTGGAAATGGGATTGGGGGACCCGAATGTGTACGCAAAAGCATCACCTCTTGCATTGCTTGCGGGGTAGCAAACTTGCAAACCACAGAAAAGGCTTCGATTGCAGCTCCTCTGACGGTAGGTGAAGGATCCAGGAGACTTCGGGCGAAAGCCTTGAGAAACCGTTTCGAGTGTACGGCCACATCGGGGATTTTATTTCCCCACTCGTCAAATAACCAACACACGAAAAAACAAACCCCGCAACGACTCGCAACTCCAACACTTCCTCGCAGCTTATGCACCAAGGGCTGCACCAGTGGCCCCACAGCGCTCAGATCCATCTGCCGGGCCTGAACAGAAAGCAGCCGCAAAAGTGGCAGCAGCACTGAGAAGAGAGACGCACCACTGGAAATACAACAGCAACAGATTCCTTCAACAGCTGCAACTACTGCACTGACAACAGAGAAAGGGCGAAGGCTGCGCCAAGCGACAACCGTTGCAGCAAACCGCAGAAATGCGTACAGAATGACTAGTTATGTAGCAGGAGGTAAAAGGGACAAAGAAGAACAAAGCGCCGGCAAACAGGATGTCCAAGCAATGGCTCGGAAAAAGAAAGATACACGCGAAAGAATGAAGGGGCAAAATAAAAGAGCCACTGGAAGAGGCACAGGTGCGCAGGTGCGAAGCACACGGGAAGGAGGATACACCGAGACAAGCACATAAGGAGAGCGCAAGACAGACAGCGCAGTGCACTGTGTAGCCCCACAATATCTTTTAAGATTTTGGCTGCCCTTCCTGTCTGTGAAAGAGACACCCGGGTCTTCTCGAAGTCTGCCTGCGAGATCCCGTGCAGTCTCTCAGCGTGAAACTGGTGGTAAGAGAAAGCACGAGGCTCAAAGGCAGCCAGACCTTCAATCAGGAACAGCACCAAAGGGACCATCCAGTCCTTGCTGCTGCTGCTGCTACTGTTGCTGCTGCTGCCACTGGCAGTGACGGATGTGGCGTCAACGGCCGGGCTGCCGAGAGTCTCAGAGCTCATCTTGGCCGTTTCTTTGGACTGCTTGCGTCTTTGTGATGCGATGCAGTTGGCGACGCTCTCTCCGAGAACGTCTAGACAGAGAATGCGGAGCTGCAGCAGCACCATGAAGTTGATGAAACACAGAACCACTCAGAAAGGCAGTAGCTATACCTCTGCGGTGCTGCTGCTGCTGCAGCATAGCCAAGACAAACGATGCACAGAAATAGCTAACAGGCAAGTGGCAGCACCTTGCGCCAACAGTTGTGGGTGTCTTGCCTCTTTGTTTCCTCCATGCAATTCGCATATCTTCTGCAGCAGGGCCACTGAGGCCACTAGGGGAGGCCCCTCGTGGCATATCTCTACTGTGAGGGCCTTGAGGGCGCGCCCTAAAGCCGCCGCTGCCGCCCTAACTTCGTCAACGACGTCATCTAGACAGCGCGCACCAGAGAGCCAGAGGTCTGAAAAGAACGGCTCTACCTCGGCCCAGTCATGGCCTGATGGGGAACAAAACGACGCAGAGATAAATGAAATGGTTTAAGCTCCTGCCGGCGCTACTTCGATCAGACAACCAGCACAGGCAAGGCTCCCCAATCCTCCAGAAAACAATCCAAACGTCAACTCCACAGAAACCGCTTGAGGCATTGAGCGGCAGAACAGAAGGTCGAGACTTGATGCAGGCAGGAGCAATACGGACGCTAAGGCAGCAGCAAGACAAAAGAACGGCGGCGACGGACCCCGCTTCAGTACGTCTGCCCCTGCTTTGCATGCGGCTTCTCTGAGGAATTGATTGGCGCTCTGCAGGCGCTTGACAATCTGCTGCACAACCTGTTGCCACGCGGAAAGCTGGGCCTTCTGCTGCGTTTGCTTCTGTTGCTGCAGTGCAAGCATGAACGCGCTGTGAGCAGGACCAGGGCCAGTGAGATCAGCCACCGAGGCGATGCCGTAGACCGACTGAAATAAACAGCAAACACAGAGGAGTAGCATTCAGTATGCCGCCTACTCACACCAGAAAGGACACGAACACCACTAGAAAAGACAGAAAGATGCAATAACGGCCGCTTAAGCAGAAGATGACAACGCAATCCTTGCTGTTCGTGTAGGCATTTGCGAGTCTTCTCCGCCACTCTCTCAGTGATACGCGTCTGTCACTTTTGAATGACCGTGGTCCTTGTCTTCGCCACTGTCTCATTTACTGTTTGCTTGCCTGTGACAGCATCTCCACAGTTTGTCTAAGCGGCGTCGCTGGGTGCCAGAAGTAGACGGAGAGGCCAAACAAAAGAGAAAGGGGGCAGCAAAATCTGAGGGCTGCGACCTGGGCCTCCACCACCAAAGTTTCTGGCTCTTCCATGCCTGCATTTTCTGTTGCTTTCACTGCTTCGTCGCTTGTTCCTACTGTTTGTGAAACTGCGGAAGTTTCGGTGCCTGCAGCAACTGCAGCAGAGTCTGCTGCTGCATCAGTATCTCCACTCCTGGGGGAGATGAGCCGAAGGTGCTGTCTGAGGGCTGGGAGGCAGAAGCTAGGGGTGGAGACGTCGCACGCTGCAATGCACAAGGGCTCCACAAACAGAGGAGGGAGGGGTTGGTCAAGCAGCGCATACACTACAGCCGTGTGTCTAGTATCTTTTGCTGTCTGCAGCAGCTGCCGCAGTAACTTCGACCTTGCCAGGCCTCCTTCCGTATCTTGCAGTTCAGCTGAGCCGGCCCAAGGAGATTCGTTGGATTCCTCTTTGCTTCCCGCCGTGCTATCTTTTTGCTGCTGCTGCTGGTTCTGTACAGAGAAGCCCTGCATCTTCAGCGCCTGCTCACTGGGACCAGTAGAAATGCGAGAGCCCACATGAAGAGACAACTCGTGTAACAGCATATCTCGCATCGTTCCGGAACTTCCTTTTGACGCCGCTCCTGTCGCTGCTGGCGTTGCTGTACCTTTTGTTGCTGCTGGTGGTGCTGTCTTGCCACAACAAGCAGCAAGGAGACAGCGGCTGAGCCCTCTCCATGCACAGTGGCCCACAAATGTATCGGCATCCCCTACCCTTGCGAGGAAAATCCGCTGAAACTGCAGCAGCATTTCAGCAACTTCTGGCAAATGCTTTGCATGCAGCAGCAGCGCCGCAAGCCAGCATACCACAGAGCTAGAAGCCCTGTGCCACATGGAGACCTTCAAACTCGGTGAGGCGAAGACAAGACGAGCAAGCTCTCCATTGATGCCGTTTGCTGCAGCGGAGGCAGTTGCAGCGTCAACAGCTGCTGCTGCTGCTTGCTCCTCCTCACCTGCTGAGGCCTTCTTCCTGTCGGACGCCGCTTCCAGCTGCTGAAGCTGCACCAATTGCACGACCAGCAGCAATACCTGCTTCACCTCCCCAGATATAGCTGTCTCCTCCTGAGCCTGCATTTCTGTCTCTGCTGCTCCTTTCCCTGCCGCTGGAGCTGAGCGCATGTGGTGTAAGTCCAGCACAAGCCGCACCACAGCAAGAGCTGCAGCTGCTCGAAGCGGCGGTGCAGCCAGAGGCGCTGTCTCCAACAAACACCTGACGGCGCTATAGTACGGCACCCGCCACGCAGCAGTCTCGGTGCTGCTGTTGCTGCTGCTGGTGCTGCTCAATGTGCAGGCCTGAGCTGCGCAGAGACTTGCCAGAGAAGCAACTGACTGCAGTGAGGAATGAAGCAGCAGTAGGCCAGTTCGTTGGGAGGTATCTGGGCCACACAGCACCCGCAGCGCGAGCGTCCAGAACATTGCAACAGCAACAGGAGCACTTTATAGATTCAGTACTAGCAAGATGCATCACGCGGCAGCAGCAGCAAGACAAAAGCAGCTTAGCTACAGTGTAACGAACATACTTGCAGCTGGCAGCAGAAGCCCAGTCTCTGGAGCCACGCAGCGGCTAAGACTAGTCTTGGAGATCGTCGTTAGAAGGGCCAACAAGGCCTCCATGGAGACAACACCTCTGTTTCCTCTCTGCTGCTCCTCTTGCTCCTTTTCTTCCTGTTCTTGTTGCTGCTGCGTTCCGTCCAGAGAACGCACCGCAACTAGCACAGACGGCCAGTGACCCCTCAGAGCTCGCGATAGCGCCTCCAGGCTGCACAGCAGCAAGGCGTCCGCCCACGGCTGGGCGTATGCACCAAACGCATCCATTTGACCCTGATGTTGCTGCTGCAACGGAAACGCGGCCCGCACACAGTCTTCCCCACAGTACGCAGTGGCCCAGAAGCAAAAGTGCTTCAGCACAGCAGAGACTGCCTGCACAGTAATGTTCCTGTCCGTGTTGTCGCTGCTGCTGCTGTTGGTCATGTCGTTCTCCCCAGCAGAAAACACACACCCCACGACAACCAAGCTCCCCGCTAGCTCTCCCGGTGTTGGCAGACGCTGCACCTCCTGTTTCTGCTTCTCTTCGGTTTGCAAAGACAGCTCCTGGTGCTGGTTCATCGCTTCCTCGAGCTGCACATACAGCGCGTCATTAGGAGTTTGCTGGTGTTGCTGCTGCTGCGGCGAAGGCGGTTCTGCAGCGAAGATCTTGAGCTTCCGCAGCTGCTGCACGCCAAATGAAGACCCTGAAAGAACAGGGAGGAATGCTTCAAGAAGCGGCTCATGTCCTGATGCTCTGAGCATCTTCGGTTCTTTTTGTTGCTGTTGTTGCTGCTGCAGTGCAGCGGCAAAGGAACGCACCAAATCCGCTGCAGCCCTCCGCGCATCTTCGCGCGTTTGCTGTACTGCGTGTCGAGCTGCTCCGCGTTTCTTCGCTGTTGCCGGACCGGCAGCAACGGAAGCAGCAGCGAAGGAAGAACCAAGTGGTGCAAACAGAACTGAAGATACCAGCAGGGGTACTTGCAGGGAAAGCAATGGTAACAGAGATGCACCTTGCCTTCCAGCCTGCAGCTGGTGCTGCTGCTGCCACCTTAGTAGCCCCATCCAGCAACGACAGAAGGTGCACCTCATGGAGGCACTGACTGCCTCATCGGAATGCTTAGCCACTAGCAACGGTAGGAGAAGAACCGCAAACAGGCGCATGTCGTCCGCGCCAAGTCCAGTGCCTCTTGCAGCAACTCCCAAGTCTTCTTTCGAAGAGAGACGCAGCTTCTTTAAGGGTAAGCTCACATCGGGAGTTGAAGAGGCTGCAGCTGCAGTAGCTGCTTCTGCTCCTGGTTCCCCTTCCTTCGTATCCTGGTGCGTACTCTGAAGGCGCATGCATGCACTCAGCCGGAGATCGCTATGCAGCAGCTCTGCGAGGCGACTCGCAAGGGGCAGCAGCCTCTCCGCTGCTTCTTCTGGTGATGCGTTGACTGCAGCAGCAAGCTGCTGCTGCGCGCCGCGGGGGTCCGTAGAAAGGTGGGCGGCAGCAGGTCCTGGTAGATGTGACGGCGCCGCCTCAGCATTAACAACTTTGCCTCCTTTCGAATTGAGGCGGAGAAGGGAGAAATGCAACAAAGCAACAAATGGCGGGGGCTCCTGGCGTTCACTTTGTTTTAAAAGATCTGCTGCCGTCTCAGCCACAGAAACCTCCTTCGACGTGCTGCTGCTGCCGCGGCCGCTGGTGATGTTGGTGGTATCCAAACTCAAGCAGATCATACAGTAAAAACTGCAGCAGGGACACAGAGGCGAGGAGAAGTGTCGCACAATTGCGTTATGGTGGTGTTGCAGCTGCGGTTACTGCTGCTGCTGCTGCCGCTGCTGCGCTGCTTGCAAAGTTGTTGCTCACCTGTGGGCAGGGTGGTTCGTGGGGAAGGCCTTCGCCGCTAACCGCAATCCTTCTTGGAGCAGTAGCTGCTGTGACGCTGCAGAACTGGCTAAAGAATCGCTTTGACTCGTCTCAAGAGGCGCCTCGCTGGCCTCAGTTTTGTTTGGTGGGGGTGCGTCCGTTGCCGGTGCAGGTTCCGGCGGGCGCAGCCACATGGCGAAGGTCCAGTCCAGCAGTGTTAGAAGCTGTCCCTCAAGATAGTCCTGCTGCTGCTGCAGCGACACCCGCTGCTGCTGCGGCATATGAGTCTGTTGCTGCAGAGCCTCTCTAAGGGAACCCAACCGCATCGCCAGCCAATCGCCGCAGCTGCGTAGCGCTTGCAAGGCCGAGGGGGTGGTGGGGTTGTCCAATGCCGCACTGAGAGAAAGAGCAGCAGAGGCTGCGCGTCGTCTCTGCGACTGCGCCTTCACTCCCTTTTGATGTGCGTCCGCCTCAACAGCGCGGGGCAGCAGCAGTAGCAGCTGCTGCAACAGCTGCAGCATTCCCTCAGTCACTATCGCACCACAGGATTCACTCCAGGATTGGTCGTCTTCCACTGCCCCCACAAGCGAGCAACTGCTGCTGCTACATGGATTGCTGCCGTTGCTGCTGCTGCAAAGAAAAGGAGAGACTGGACAGACGCGACAAGCAGTGGATACCGCGTCCAGAAGAAGAGGGAGGAGCTCACGCGTGGCCGGCTGCAGCAACAGCTCTGCTGCAGTGCGCGGACGAAGCGTGGGAGGGATGGTATCCTGACTTATTTGAAATACGAGGTCAGGAGACACCACAGTGTTGGCGGCAAAAACAGCAGAAGAGCACTGCATAAATTGCTGCAGTACTTGCTGGGCTCCGCTGAAGGCGCTGTTGTTCGTCCCTTCCGCAGCACCAGCGGAAGCAGCAAATGGATCCATGAAGTCAGCAGCAAGAAGCTCTGATGCTGGGGGCGCTGCAACTAGCAGCAGCTGTTCGAGTGCCCGGGAGAAGAAGTCTAAAAGCAAGCAGCTTACGCGGGCTGCGGAGGGGCAGAGTATCCTCTGCTGCATCTGCTGTTGCTGGATTGCATCTGAGGCAGGTGCACCCGTTGCAGTTGCAGCACCTACTGCATGCACATCACAGCAGAACCAGCGCTGCAGCCGCAGGCACCAAAGGAGAAAAGACAGCGCGCCACTGACGCGGGCTGTAGGCTGTCCAGCGCTGATCCCCCACTGCAAGGCCTGCTGCAGCAAGCCCAGGGCCTCCCACTGTAGCTGCAGCGTAGCGAGGCAAAAACGCCTCTCTGCAGCAGCTCTGCTTTTGCCCAATTGCTGCAGCAGCTTCTGCTGCACTTTACTGGGCAGTGGGCCCCGAGGTTCTTGTGTGCGGAGACTTGTGGAGCCAAGCAACTGCGTCTGCTTCTGCAGCTGCTGCAGCTGCTGCAGTGGACGGAGGAGGACCAGGTCAAACAGCAGCTGCAGCAGCAGCTCGTCATCTGTGTTGCTCTGCATATACGCAAAATATCGCATTCACACAAGAGCGCTCAGACGCGGGCAATCCGATTGCTCCTGCCAGTGCCTTGCTGCTGCTGCTACCCTATCAAGCAGCTACACCTCCAACTGCAAGTATCTTCAAAGCAGCCCTAGATATGCAGAGGTATGTTGCACTGGTAGCAGTTATAACGCCTGCACCGGCAATGCAGGCAGCAGCAGCAGCGTTCCCACTAGCTATAGAAGCAGCAGCAGTAGCAGTTACCACAGTCGCAAGCCGAGTGAGAGCAGCGGTGCAGGGATCGGAGATCGAAGCAAAAGGGGCGCAGCTCCCCAAAATGATTGGTCCGAGGATGACTGGAGGCAAAACAATTATGTTCTTTTCTTGTTCTGTTGCTGTTGCTTTTGCCGGTGGTCCTGCTGTTTCCGCTGCCGTTGGTGTTGCTGCTGTTGCTGCCTTTTCCAGGCCCTGGGCACTATTTGCCACCTCTGGGTTCCCAATCGGAGCAGCAGCTTCGTCAGCAGCATCAGCAGCAGCTGCTGCTGCTGCTGTTTTCTCGTCTGCAACCGGTGCAGCGCTAGCAGCTTTTGTTAGCAGCTGCGCCGCACGCGTCTGCTGAAGCACCAAATCTTGGCGAGAAAGCCTGCAGCTATTTCCCCACAACTTGACAGCACCAAATGAGAGCCCCTTTCCTGGTTCTTCGGGTGCTGCTGATGCTGCTGATGCTGCTGATGCTGCTGATGCTGCTGATGCTGCTGATGCTGCTGCAGTTGCGGCACTTGCTGCAGATGATGGTGCAGCTGCTGCCCCTGCTGGTGTTGAACCCGCTTCCTCTGACCCCAAGACATCGACGAAGCAGCGGCAGACGAAGGCACCCACCTTCCCTCGGTGAGCGTCTTGGGTTCGTTGCTGCTTTCGTCGGTGAAGTGCAGTCCAGTCAATGCTTCGTGCAACTTGTGCCGCCTTCTGCTGCAGCTGCTGCGTCTGAAGCAGCTCATCGGCTCCCGCTGCTGCGGCAGAGTCCCCTCCCAGCAGCAGAAGCTCGCATATCGCCTGCACTACTGCAAGGAAGGAAGGAGACGGCTCGCTGCAGCAAGGCAACTTGTTGCTGCTCCTGCTGCTTAGTGCAGCAGTGGCGTTGTCAACAAGTACCTCCGTCTTTACTACAGCAAGTGCTTCTAGAACGCGAATTCCCATAGGATTGCTGCAGCTTTGTTTCAGCGTCTGTAGGACTTGAGGCACAGCGAGGCATTCCAACATCAAAAGAAGCATTTTGGGGTAGCTGGCAGCAGCCCACTTGTCATAGTGCTGTAGCAGCAGAAGCCCGAGAGAGCAAAGACTCTGTGCGTCTAGGCGAGGTATCGCGGCAGAGATGAACAAGGGGACGATGCCCCTCACCACCGACATGTTGCTAGATCGAATGGGAGGGAGTTGAAGTTGCTCCAGTTGCTGCTCCAACAGCTGCTGCTTCTCGCCCGTGCGCTGTTGCTGCTCTGCTGCGGCTAGGAGACTCAGCAAGTCCTCCGCAGGAACAGGAACCTCTGGGGCCTCTTTAACACGACGGAGGCAACTGTTCACAATTCCAATGACCTGCATGCATGCACATTCACACACACACACACACACACACACACACACACACACACACACACACACACACACACACACACATTCACAAGTGCTCGTGATCCCGACAAACCACAGCACCTTTGTGCTTGTCCTGCCACTGGTACATCGCCTGCTGCTGCATCTGCTGCTGAGTCTGCTGCTGTGCCTGATTCTGCTTGCCTTGGGCAGAGACGCGGGCGGACAGGTCATCAGCTCCAGCAATGCCCGCGGCAGCAGCTTCCTCAACACAACGGCGAGAGACTCATCGCTGCAGAGGCTGAGACGCAGAGCTGTTTGCTCGTACTCTGCGTGCTTCTGTTGCAGTGTGCTGGCGCTCTTCGTTGCAGCAGCAGCTCCTGCTGCTGCTACCGGTTGCTCTGGACCCATCGGGAGGCACTTTTGGGTACCCTTTTACGCAACGGCCTCCATAGGAAGAAAGACAAGGAAGCACTCAATATGTGGATCTCTGAAGGTTCTGCCTTATGCGCTCTGCTGCACCGTAGCGATGGATTTGTTAGTTCGGCAGGAGAGGCAAGTTGTGCGTCGGCACCGCTGCAGCCAGTCTTTTAGCCTCCTTCGGTATGTTGTTGTCTCGACGAAGTCCTAACAAGAAGTGAATTCCGTGGCAATACTCTACTTTCGTCTACTGCAAACTGCTGCTGCGTGCGAGTTGACCGCTGCCGAAAGCATGCAGCCCCAATGTGGAACCGGTGCTATCAAGTTTTTTCCCTGCCCCTTACAGCTGGATACTTAGTCAATATATACCCGCATGCTGCCCCATAAGACCGGAATAGAGTCCGTAATGATCTTTTACCTCACTTCTGACACCCAGAAGGGCTTTGGAATGGAAACATCGGGCGGTTCATCATTCATCGTGAAAAAACAATGGTCTGGGTCAAGTAGAGCGCTGCAAGAAACTGCAGGATACCTTTTTGCTGGCTTTCTACTGCTGATTATCCTCACAGGATGCCGAATACCACCCATTTCGCCGCAGCATTTTCAGCAGTACGAACTGTAGCTGTTGTCGTGAACTTCCGGAGGAATTCAAACTCTGCACTGCATCTTCCAAGAGCGAAACAGTAGCAGAAGCGGCAGAGGTAACTGCAAGATGCCTCTTGTGAGCGCCGCAAGCCAGCATGCAACGGACTCCACGGAGTGCTCTTTTCCGATTGCTGCAGGAGTGGCCGCAGGAAATGCAGCAGAAGATATTGCAGGAAAAGAAGTGAGCAGGAAGTGCATTAATGCAGCTGCCTTTTTAGGGAGTTCTGTGGAGCAGCAGGAACGACCCGGGCCCCAGCAGCAGCAACATCAGCAAACGCGGCATGAACAGCTCAAGCAACAGCATAATTTGGAGCATCCTGAACATGGGCCCACTGGGCAAGGACAGGAGGAGGAGCAACGGCAGCAGCAGCAGGAGAGAGCGAAGCATCGTCGTGTTTGTTCTGGGTGCAATCGCCCCTGTTCTGTGTGCTACTGCAGCATCATACGGGGGAGAGAATTGAGCCTTTCTGAACAGGACGTTTGCTCCATAGTCAACAGAGTCCTCATTTTCATGCATCCTCTTGAAAAGAAGAGGAAGAACGGATCTGTCAGCGTGCTACAGAAGCTTGTCAAAGGAATAGAAATTTGGCCCCACAGAAGACCCGGTTGCTGCCCGTTCGCTACCGAGCAGCAGCAGCAGCAGCAGCAGCGAGAGGAGGAGAATCAGCACAAAATGCAGGAAAAGGCAGCGTTGCAACGTGCAGAAGGAATTCCCCGTGTGTCTGCAGAAGCAGCATGCAGTGAGGGGCTGGAGAGGCCAGAAGTTGCCGACTGTGCACTTGCAGGTGCAGCAGAAGGATCTGGTCAGCAGCAGCAGCAGCAGGCCCAGCAACAGCGGCAGCCGGAGCAGCAGCAAGAGCAGCACCTATGTACCCGCGAGGGTGTTGCGGTGTGTGACACAAGCCGAATGCTGTTGCTTTTTCCTACAGAGTCTTCTGTGACTCTTGGCGTTGGGTCTTTGCCTGTTCGTCTCCCCGTGACCCTCCTAGCTATCGACGGCACATGGAAAGAAGCCAAAGAAATGTTTAGCGCCTCTCCCTGGTTGCAGAAACTGCCTGCCGTCCACCTTCCTATTCGGCAGGAAGTTGTGGCGTTGAATGACAACATTGCCGGCTCTGCTGCTGCTGCTGCAGGTACTGATCCTGCTGCTGCTGGTGCTAATGCTGCTGCATCCTGTTGTAGGAACAGCAGCACGGACAACACAAAGGCGCTCCGCGTCTCCGGTGCCTACGGGATGATACGAACTCCCCCAGCGAGAGTAGCAGCAAGTGGAGGAGTCTGTACAGCCGAAGCAATTGCCGAAGCTCTGTCGGTCTTAGGAAGTTGGGCCCGCAGCGGCTCCTCGCCGCTACTGAACATTGGTGAAACGACCAGGGAGACGCTGCAGTGCATAGTCTCCCTACAGCAACGCATGCGAGGTGAAGGCAGGGACAGGGAACTAACCGCGTGATACGCGGCAGGAACTACCAGAGGAGAAAAAAGACAGCACTTCATCTTCTTCTCCAGGTTTCTGCTGCACCGCTCTATCGAACCGTAGAAGGAAAACTGTGGCGCCTTCATTGCTGAGGCTGTCCTCTACGTTAGCTTAAACATTCCCCCCAGCATCTCAGGGGAACTGACAAACCTACAGAAATCTTTTGCATACCCCCCAACCCAAAGTCGGCTGTAGAAGAGCATTTGAAACTAATGGCGCTACTCCGAAGGAACAGGTGGCTCCGTTTTCAGCTGTCCTGCCTGAAAGCCCTGCGCCACCCATGCTCCCTCCAATAGGTGCCCGCCCGATATCTGAGCTGTCTCCACACTGTTGGAGAAACGAATGTCGGCTAATGCCGAGTAATCTTCATAATGTGGTGCCTATCTCTACGCAGATCACCTGCATTCCTCAATACTCAATCCTCATTTGAATCATCCTGCTCAAAGACTATACTGCAAACTAGCATTCTTCCTCCCTACAAGGAGCGCAGTGTACCTCAAACCTCGCCTGTTCCCTTCCCTCAACTATATCGATCCCGTGGCATGTTAGGAAGAAACGAAGGTTCTGACCGCGTTGCTGCGCAGCAACTTTCGTGAGCGGCAGCGGTTGTTCCTTCAAGCGGCCCCTTGCCTGTACGTTTCACAGGCGGTGGAAGGGTCTGCATCCCTCCCTACTTCGAGGCCCCGTTGTCACCTTTCATGTGGAGAACAACAAACGCTTCGGCAAGACAGAAAGATCACCAGCTCCCCGTCCTCCTAGAAATCGCAGGTTCACGGAGATCGCTACTGCAAAATCTCGCCTTATGCGACTGCAGCCTTCACTCAGCCTTTACCTTCCAAGTATTTGACAAGAGAAAACCGTGCGTGCAAATCTATTATCGCTGCACTGCGCTCAAATCATCCATTCGGCCCTGCATATTCCTGGCACGCAGCAGCCGCCGCGGATGGACTCTGGGACCGAGCAAGCCGATTCAGCATCTGCCAGCGCAACTTTCCCCTCTAGGCCCCAAGTTAACTTCAAATTTACGACAGGCCATTAGTGCGAAGGAAAATAGCAGACGAGACGATCGGTCACTCCTCAAAGGTCACGAAGAACGACGCGAGGCACTCCTGCACTGTCATTACCTTAGTAATAAATGGTTCCTGATAATAGCCAAGACCACTTCTGGGTCTGCACAGCCCACCCGCAAGAGCATGCCTGTGCTCGCCAATCGCTCCACACAACAGTCCAGATGCGTCCTCCGTCCCCATTAGTTTTGACGCCACAATCTTACGGACAGAAACACGAACCCAAGATTTCGGCACTGTAATATTCACGGGATCAGACTGCTTGTTCATCATCCCGGTGTTCATCATCCAAACCTCTCTTTACACTGTGCAGGCTAATTTTGTCCCAACCTTCGGAAGTGATGGTTTACTACGGGCAAAACTGGTCTTTTCGCCTCTAACGAAAATAAATCTGTGCCTACCTGGCCCATGCATCCTCCCTCAGACACTGCCAGCTGGCTCATGCGTGGCACTAGTTCCTCTGCTGGAACCCTCGTCACCATTTTCCTGTTCCTGTTTCGCTGTTTTCCCAGTGTCTGTCTCCTGATCCTCCCACTCATATAATGACGGGTCCACATTCTTTGCGCCGGAATCGGCAAGGACCCTAACTTGCTGCTTCCCCTGCGTGTACACCTCCTCGACCCACTGACGCAACTCTTCCGGCTTTATGGACTTCAGCGTGTGCGTGTCATCTGCACACACAAAACGCACGCTCCAACGGTGCCTTCCCTAATACCTAGTCACGGCCTTCGTCGCTGTGTCGCCCACAGTCTTCCACAGGGGTAACCTATACAAAAGTCTGCAACGATGGAAAAGTCCAACTGTTGCCTTCGAAGGCTTTTCACGAGCTGCCCATGTGCTGTTCAGGCTAAAGCAAAGAGCTCACTTATGACTTCTAGACGGCTGCGGCCCGGCCCATCTGCCGTTTCAAGAAGACGGATCGAATCATCCAAGGGAACCGTCTTATCCCCCGATCCGTGCACAATCACCACATAGGGGATCCCGTGCAGCGTGAAGCCGTTGCGCAGGCGCATAAATCGAGCGTACTGTTCGTGAGCGGGAGCAAGCAGCAACTATACATAGCAAGGCAAACGCATGCACAGGCATCAGACGCACCTGAACCATCTAGAATGGGAGTTCCGTGGCTGTGCTGCTGGTCCCGCCAGTCGTGAACCATCCTATCACGTCCTGGAAAGCCCGACAGGTGAAGTTACTGGGTACTGTGCACAACGGAAAACATTAGGCCCAGTCCTCACCATTGGCACTTTCGGAACGTCCATGCTGAGGGCCACCACAGACCCGAAGGAAGTGGCGACGATTAGGTTGGACCGCTGCTCCCTGAACTTCTTCTCGGCTATGCGAATGGCCTTTCGCCACATGTAATGCGTAGCAGCCTTCCCTCCAAACCAGTATGAAAGCAAGAGCACTACCGCCTACTCAAATATGCGAAACAAACGACAGAGAAAGAAGCAGCAGCAGTGCTGCAAGATGCCTAGAACACTGAGAAAACATGCTGAAACAAGTACACAAGAAGCAGACTTCCCATGTGTAAGACAAAGCCGCACACCCCATATCATGTGACGGAAGCATCGAGTCAGCTATTCTGAGGAAATGGTGTGCTTAGCGGGCATGCTATACTGTGCTGCTGCTCTCTCACCGATGCAAGAAAGACGCCCAGGCCGACATACCACTTTGCCAGCACAGCCGCTGCTCTGCAAAAGCCAAGCGCAAAGCAATCGGCGTAACAACCCGCTACTAAGTTCATCTTACCTGCGCCTCAACAACTGACGATGAGCAGCAGGTCCCTGCGGAAGCATCCAGCTGGCTTCCTTAAGTCAGCGTGGTGCTAAGGGGGAAGGAACCTACATAACTGAGCTAAGAAGGCAAATGGACAGAACCAAGAAGATGAGGACAAAGACCATTATGGTCTGCCTCGTCTTCAAGTTCGGAGCCTTCACTCTTTGCTTCCCAAGGGCCTTTTCAAGCAGGCGCTGCTTTTCACTGCCAGGGGCTGAATCCAGCTCGTGCAGAAAGAGCACCCGCAGGTCCTGACCCGCGCCATGGCTTGAACTTTGAGAAGACATTTGCGCAGTTCGTTAACAACAAGAGGAAATACGAACAACTGCGACTCCCCTAAGGCTAGATCGAGAGGTGCCAGTTTTTGGCTTCCCGGGGGCCCTCCAAAAAAACCGCTGCCCAGCAAGACTAGACACTCCTCGCCCCGTTGTCCTTGGCACCGTTTGTGGCTGCTAATCACGCAAAAGCCTCAGCTTCTTCTGGAACTACAGCCTGCCTCGAGGGCGTTTTATTGTCAGCGAGTTACACACGAGCCTCAAAGATGGCACAAGAGCTGCTCCCCAGAACTGAGGAGCTGGCCCCGTGCACTGCTCCTATGCAAAGTTGGTATAGATCCAAACCCAAAGGTCAGAAACAGAGACTGCAAGCAGGCAGCCAATAGTGCTACGAGGTCGGAAGACCCACTTGCATGTGAACCCGCCAGCGAATGAGGGAGACGTGAGGAGAGCGCAACGATCCTAGGAGACGCTGCCACAAAACAGAGGTAATTGTGCTGTTGAAATGTATATAAAGGCCTAGAAACCTGATTCCGACGTCTTTGGCGTCTTACTCATACCTTCTGCTTCGCTGCGTGTGTGTGTGGCAGTACTGTCCGTCCCACGCTACTGCTTCTGCGGAGACGAGTTATGCTAAAAGCGAACAAAGCAAAAAAAATCCACTTTAAAACCAATCTATGAAACGAATTCTGGTCCCGCGAACGATTTAGCTCGCGGAAATAAGATGAAAAGGGGGTAATTCGCAGAGAATGACACCCCAGCCAAATGGTCTAACACACAGGCATCAGTAGTGGTCTGCCCGCGAGAGAAACGCCGAAATCCCTGGCCATCAAGAGAACAAAACAGCGAGACGTTGCTCTTTAAATGAACAAACAATCAATGTAGAGTTGGTTGGATTCGAAAGCGAGCCAGAAAACGGAGAAATGCACGACGGAAAACCTGCTAGAAAACGATGGCAAGTGCTGCTCATACTAAACGAGCCCCACAAGCATCCATGGTCCTCTGGGCTTCCTCCCAAAAGTAAAAAGGCTTCCCCTTCCTTGTTATTTTACCTTCATTCAACATTCACCCGAGGAAAAGTGGAGAAAAAAACGCAGGGGTAGACAGCACTCCCCAGCAGCAATGGCAGCTGGGCGGGAAGCAGCCGGAGGTTACTGGCGCGTTGGGTTCGACAAATTTCTGCAGTAACGACCTCTTTAAGGCATCAGAATGGACTATATTACATAATACCTTAGTATCCCCCTTTTAACATAGGGAGACCATAGAAGCTTTGGGCCAGTTGCGCCAATACAGTGGTCAACACTCGATTCTGGATGCCCTGTAACCTGGAGCTACAAGCCCGTACATTTGCACCCGCACGCAAAATACACGCACGCAAATGCTCATTTTAAAATTTAAACAGCAGTTGATCTGGATGAAAACCTCTCTTTTCATCACAATAGGGGTTCCACTGTGCGCGCCCAACTGACTAGCCTTCAATGCATCGATTGCACGGGCTTAGCCGGGGGATCTGGCTGTATTTTGCTCTAGATCAGCCCTTTCCTATGAGCATCATTTCAATGAAATAAATAGAGTGCGAGTGCCCAGGTCCTACTGAAAATAATCATCTGGGGTGTATTTACTTTGCAACCTTCTACGTGGAGACTTTAACAAGGGTCCTCGATCTTAGCAGATCTTGGTGAGCTGCAATAGTGTCAAAGATTCAAAAGCTCAACAAACAGCCAACCACCCCTCCAACCTCCAGGCTCACTACGCACAGCGGACTAAGGCCCTGTACCCCACGGAGGACGAGGCGGTCTGATGTGAGCTGCAACATATCTTGCTGCAACTAGTGCTGAAAAGCAACGCCAGGCGTAAGCACAGCCAACTCCCCTTTCCTGTATGGTCTAACAGTGTAGCCAATTGTTGAATACTTTTGGGGGCCATACCAAGTAAAAGTACATGCGCATCAGACAAGCCGTATTGCATCTGCTTCCCCCCACTCTCCCCAGTGCAGCGCACTTCCTCACGTGCCTGGACGCCCAAAAAAGGATGGGACCGGTTGAAAGGCTCCTCCTGCGGTTGCAGCTGCTGCATCGGGTGTTGTTTCTACGGTTTCATTGGTTCTTCCTACCACCTCTTTGTTGCTACATATCTTGCTGCTGCATCTCTTGATGCTGCATCGCTTGCTGTTACGTCACTTGTTGCTGTACCCCTTGTTGCTGCTGCTGCTTTGTTGGTGTCCAAGCTGCTGCTGTTTGTCTTTTTGCTTCTCCATCTTTCTGTTGGCCGCAAGCACAAACTGCTGCTGCTGATACTCCACAGGTGCAATGTGGGGATGCAGCACAACTGCTGTCTTGCTGTGAAGACAATTCATTCCTGGGATTTGTACTGTAGGCAGGCCAGCTGCTGCTATCGCCTTCTTGGCGCGCCTCCTGCTGAACGCAGAGTCTGCCGCAGCACGCGACACTCCAGAAGCAGCATTGGCCTCAACCTGTCATAAAGACTGGTTGAGGCCAATCTGGTGGTGCAGAAACCAGGTGCAGCACCAGGTGCCGCTGCTGCTCTCGCTGTTGCTTTTGCCCACATAATAGTGCTGGACCCCCGATCTAGCTCCTGAAATAGCACCAGAACAAGAGATTCCTGCAGAGGCAACAGTTTGGATTGCTACTGCAGCTGGTCCATCGGTATGACCAGGTGCCGCTGCTGCAACAGAAAAACGCCAATGGCCGTGAAGCCAATGCTTTGCCACTGCACTTCGAAGGACAGCAGCAAACGGTGCTCCTCAACAAAGTACACGGTGGCAGGTAGAGATATCTGCTGCTGCAACAGCGGCATCAACAATCCAACGCTGCGCAAGGAAGGCCGCAGCGAGGGCTCGTAAGCGCTGCTCCTTCTGTTGCTTCTGAAACTGCTGCTGTTGCTGATTTGCAGATAGTCCTATTGCCGCTATTGCCAGTACCGTTGATCTTGCTGTTGCTGCTGCTGCCGTTGCCGCTGCCATCGCATCCGCTTTCTGCGGCTCCCACACGCCGGCAACTGCAGCAGCACGCTGGTGCTGCTACAGTTGCCGGCGTGTCAGCAGCACGCTGGTGCTGCTGCAGTTGCCGGCGTGTGCTCCTTTGGTTGGGGTTCTTGTTCCAGTTGCTGGTGATCCCGCTGCTGCTGATCTAGATAAGCAAAAGCAAGTAAACGTTTGGGATCTCCCAACAGCTGTCGTCGTCTGGGGGTAACGATTGCTGTCTTGCAAGCCGCAAAGGGTGGAGGCCAGCTTGAAAAGTGAGAGGTAGCTGCCTCCAAGGTAGCCGTATGCAACAGTTGGGTAATATATTGCAGCGAATAGGTAGGTGGCTCCGAAGAGCACATGGATAGGTGATCTGCCGCCAGTTAAGGGGCGCTCATATGTTTTGCCAAACAGGGGGCCCAGCATTGCGCTGCGCTGAGGATGCACACGTGTAGCTGCTGCCATTAATTCGAGGAAAGCACATTACTCCTGAAGAATTGCTACACGCAAGCTTGACTTAAGCGTCCGCTCGAGTGTCTGGACCATTTGTCATAGTATTCTCGAGTTCTGCGATCTCTACGAGTTGTTACATATGTGTCTAGGATGCCGGTCACTTGCTGCCGTCCTCGAGATTTCCAGGAACTTTCGGTATCAAGATTGGCCGTCTAGAAAACCAGCAGTAATGGTATGATGATATCCCTAGGGGGACGAAAGTGGCATTTTTTCTCTTTGTGATGCGTAAGTATTCCATCATCCCGGCGAGATAATCCTTTTACATGCCTTTCCGTGGCCCATCTGGTTACCGATTGCCTCTCAGTCAAATTGCCCGACCAGTCATTGCTATAGAAGTTTTCAGACCGCTGTTGGACTTCTGTTCACCAGTGACTGATACGTCTCGATGGAACGCTGCCTTGGTACTTGCCCTCGTTCATATTTTCTCAACTCTGCCGTATCCTGTTCCCTGATGGATTTCGAAGTAAACCTGCATTTGCAGCGTTTGTTGGAGCCCTTCAACAGTTCGGATTTGTTCCGGAAAGTTGGTACCCTTGCGCCGATGCAGCAGTCATTGTCGAGACTCCTCTTCTACGAAACAATGCGCCAACAGCAACTATAGCTCCTCGACTAAATTTTGGAGACTGAAGTAAAGCTACAGAGAAGTGAGGAACAACCCGACTTTTTCTTCAGCGCGGCTCTCGTCATGCGGTCGGCAAAGGCGGAGCCACTCTTGGGAAGAACATGCGAAGAATTTTTTGCAGATCATATTCGTTTATAATCATTGTTATGCACGAGGCCTTCCCACTGTGGGATTGGGGCTCACTGCTCTTACCTACCCTGATGAACCATTCCGTGCTACCACGGGTAGCGAGGGGCCTCGATCGGACCAGACGATGAACGTGAGCTGCAAAAGAGTCAAAGGCTTAAAATTGGATATTCTCAAAACACGGCCAGCCGCTCTTCCAGTCTCCCGGATTCCTAGGCACAGTGGCCTAAGATCCTGGCGGGTGCTGGCGCTAGAGGACGCTGCCATAGACGAATTGAAACGTATCTTGCCGCAACTAATACTGCGCGGCAGATCTACCTGCGAACGCAGCCACGGCCCCTTCCGCGTATGCACGAACACAGTAATCAGTTCAACGCGGGACAGAGTTCGCTCCATCCGCTGTGCGTCGTATTCCTGGAGACCAGAGGGGAAGCCTCTTGCTTCTTTGGGAACTATCGCACATTGAGGTTTCGATATTATTGCTGTTTATTGTGATCCTTGGCGAAGGTCATGGAGTCTCGTGACCCTTTCATGACGATAATCGGGGAACAGTTGTTGTTTCTGCTACTCTCCTGCAATTAAATAACTGTTTAAGGATGAAAGTTCCACGACAGCTTGTGCACAAAGCAATGCCTGCCAATATTTGATAACCAAGCCGGCGCACGAGCTTGAATTCAGTGTAACAGTTGTAGTGTGAACGAGATTCCCACGCCGGGGCGGCGGGAGCAAAACATCACTTTAGCATAGTTGTGCAGAAAATTTGGTTATACTGGGTCTGAACATAAGGGAGCACTTGAAAAAAACTCTATGGAAAATGCGAACGGAGGGATTTTTCTGCGGAGAACTGCCGTGTGCGCCCTCTCGTGCACCAGTGTGGGAGAGCGAGCGCGGGGTTCTAGGTAGTTCGAGCAGCGCGAGGGACTGCTCTTGCCGCTGCATTGCGCTACCTTCTTCTGTGTTTGCTTTCGGGTGGTAGGACCCGTTCTTATTCCCTTCAATTGTCGCCTTCTATTAAGAGTGTTTGTTTGAGTTCCATTGGAGCCCTACGGCCCTGTTGCTGGGGGGCTCGCCTGAAGTGCGCCGCGGCTAAGCGGATGCTGCAGTCTCTCCAACCCTTACAACTAATCGACCTTCGTCTAATTCATCAGGGCAGGTATTTCTGTTTTCCTTTTCATTTATTTTGAAATGGAATCTCCAGATGTATGGGGGCCCTTGCCAGCGTTCCGGTGGGGGGTGTCTGAAGAAGAAGAGACAGGTAGGACAACCCCAGTCATTTCCGCGGGTAAATGGATGGACGTTCCCCTTCGGCCAGCTAGACCCTTACGTAAGAGCGCCCCAAAAACCATCATTATCGGACTGTCCGGCCTCTTGGCGTTGAGCGCCCTCGCGTATGTGGTCCTCCGATGCTCAAGGCTCCTCTCTTCCGTGCACGAGTCTGTGCCCATCACACTGAGGTTACTTGCTTCCGGGGTACTTCAAGCACGGTGGAAGAATGGCAGATGCAGAATAGAAGCAGCAGCCGAATCTTTAATGACCTTCGACGCCCCTGTGATGATGCCTTCCACCCTTGCTAGCCGGCCGCGTGCGTGGACAGTTTCTTCAGAAGCACTTCTGGCTTTTCATTTCTGTGGATTTGGGCGTATGTGGCTTGTGCAGGGGCAAGAAGACAAGTGCAGCAGCCTCAGGGTTGGCTTCCCACTCACTCCTCTTGGAGCGCGTGCATCACATCACCGTTCCGCTGCCTCTCTCCTATCCGGCCCAAGCCCACTCCATCCTCGAGAAGAAAGTGACCCTCCTTTCTATGAATTCCCCGACGTTGACTCCCCTTCTGTGCGTTGGACCGCTCCGTGAATACGCACGGGCCCATGCTATCCACCGTGCAGCAATAGTTAAACAGGCCTTGCGTTGGCAGTGCGACTGCACCTGATTTCCGCTGCATCCCCAGGCAGGAAGAGCACTGCACCGTGATGCATTTGCGTCTTGTGCTGGGGGCTTTTACTTTGGGTGTTGTGACAGGCGAGGGCGGGCTTGAAGACCTTCATGCATTCTCTAGGCAAACTGCGCCGCTGCCACCGTGGCGGAAAGCAAAGTGCGGCAGACACAGCGAAGATTTTTTGTTGAATTCGGTGCATGTATATGTGTAGCGCCAGAACTTCGCAGCTATCAGCAGGGAATCGAAGGTGTGCGTTTGTTTTGGGGCTGTGTGCAGAGTCGGTTTCCTTTGATGTGGGCGGCGTGAGCGTGACCGTGCAGTTCATGGAACTCGTGAGTCTGTTTGATGGCCGCAGTAGGACTGCGCGCTTCTCTGGGTTGTGTCTTTAGGAGACGTTGCTGTGGTGTCTTGTTGCGGTTTCTGGGTGATGCAGCAAACTGGTTTCGTGTTTTTCGGGCCAAGCAGATCCGTGAGCTCAGCTGTTGGCTGTTGCACTTCTCTTTGCCAGGACTTCGAGAAAAAGGCCTGGGGGCCTTCCATGATATTACTAGGCTGCCAGCTGCGGGCTGTAGAGAATGGATGCATGCAGCTGCAGCGGCTGTTTGTGAGGTGTGTGGAGTTTGTTTGTTGCAGGCACTTGCGGCCGCTGGCGCTTATGTGGAAGAAGCATTATGGAGGACGATGCAAGCAGTTTTGACCAGCCAGCCCGGTAGGATCTACTGGCATAGAGGGGCTTCTGCTGCTGCTGCAGCGGGCTTCGCTGCATGCTGCCTCCACTGCTGCTGCAGCGGGCCTCGCTGCATGCTGCCTTCACTTCTGCTGATGGTGCCTCCGTTGCTGCTGCAGCGGCTTTCGCTGCATGCTCCCTCCGTTGGTGCTGCAGCCGTTTTTGCAGCATGCTGTCTCTGCTGCTTCTGCGCGCAGGTTTATCCACTGCCACGGAAGAGATTGTCATTCAGCTGGAGGAAGGTGATGCTTCTTCGGGCTCCATAATGATTCGCGTTACTTGTGGGTGTTTTCCGATAGTCCCTTTCTCTCGCATGCGCACCGTTTGCCTGTTCTCTGTTTCCGTCTCCGCAGAGCGCTCGACAGGGCTTGTTCGCTGCGGCTTTCTGCAACTGCTGCAGGCACCAAGTGACGCTCTTAGGCTAAGATACCAGAGTGCATAGGATTGTAAGAGTGCGTTATTGTGGCGTTGTTGCTGTTGAGCAGGCGCCTTTGATGGGCTATTGCATTCATCCAGGCGAGTTTCCCGCCCTTATCCGGTTCTTCGGCATGTTGTAGATGACTCAACAAGAAGACGAACTTTCTTTTCGCGCGGGAGGTTGTCAGGGGGCAGCGGCGCAGCGGCGCCAGATGATTCCGCGCATAGAAGGGGTGCGGGGCCTCTGACGCCGCAACCGACAAGACGCGGAGGCTCCAGTAGAAAAGCACGACGATCAGATGAGCGAAAGCGTAAGCGCGACCAGCGCACGGAGGGACCTGCTGCAACAGGCGCAACTCCAGATGGCGCAGAGACACTCCAAGCAGAAGGTGAAACTTCAAAAGACGCAAAAGAGAAGTCTGCAGGCGACAAAACTCCAGGAGGTATAGAGGCGTCTGGTGCAACAGGCGGAGATACAACAGGCTCCGGTGCCGATGGCCACAAGGGTTTTGTACAGCTATCTGGGACTGGTGCTCGCCCCAAAACAAAAGGCTTGCTGTTGGTCCCTAGCAATGCAGCGCTGGGCCAGCGACGGAAAACATATGACTTCCCGAATCTCCCAGAAGGCACCGTAAGTCTTCAGGGCTGTGCTGTCCCGGAGTTCACCGGGGCCTTGGCTTTCAAGCTTTATCAGCTGGAATGGGGAAAAGCGTTTCGACAGCTTGTCAGCTGGCTGTCTTGAATTGCTTCATTGTGACACGCTGCACCGTCTTTGGGGCGTTCAACAGGCAAAGGAAGGACTAAAACAAATCTTGAGCGCAGCCTGCAAAATGTGTCGTCGGTCCAAGCACCTGCGTACAGGTGACGACGAACCCTTCTCTCTGTCGCTGCATCGAGCTGTCTCGGGTTCCTTGTCTTGCGTTGCTTTCGTATGGCAGTGGCTTGAAAAATGCAGAGGGAAAATTTTGAGCCTCTGCAATGTTTGCGTGGCTTTCAGAAACCGTGTCTTTCACATTCAAGGGAATAGATGTAACAGTCACTGTCACCGAACTAGTAAGACTCCAGGCCGTCGTTCTTCACATGCACGCACTTGCCGCTTGAAGAGCTGGGGACTCGGAGGGTCGTTTCTCCTAAGGGACATTGTTTTTCCTTGCACCTGTGCTCGCTGTGTCGGCAGATATATTTCCCCTGGGATCCACAGAAGGTAAGGAGTAAACGCTTCGACGTTGACATGAAACGAAAAAGGGAACTTTGGTGCCTGCGGGGGGGATCAGAGTTATAAGTTGCTCTGATCATAAAGCTGCCGCATCGGGGGTGCTGTTTCCTGCTGCAGTTGACACTAGAAGCCGGAGTGCAGCTGGAGCAAGCGCTGTTGAGCATAGTCGAGGAAATCCAATCTCGGGCACCAGGCAAGCCTGACACGGTCGGTGGAGCTGCTGACAGTGTTTCTTTGGCTCGCGGTCGGCCTTGACTCTGCTCCAACAAAAATCATCGTGTGTACCCCGTGGGCACAAGGTTCGCTGCTTGCTTCTTCTCGAGTGTTCTGCAGACACCTACAGCACAAGGCGGATATTCTCTATCCAAGAGAAAGATTCAAGCCGCGTACAGGGGCAGATAACATTTATGTTGTCAGGTCGGCCTGAGCGCACGAAAGTTTTTCTGTTTGCAAACCAATCAGGGGTTTCAGTGCGCGTTCGCGACCCCCAGTTAGATGATCTTTCGCCTCTTTGTTCCTGTTAGCATAGCCATGCACAACAGCTTTCAGCGACACCTGCCGAAACCTTTCCCGATGTTTTGTGCCACGGAGCCGTTGGCACGGCAGCCGTGCATATCTATTTGACTGTCAGGCGTCAGGGAAATGAAGTATCTGCAACTTTTCTGTTTGTGGGTCATAACTTGTGTTCAGCGTCGATTTTGCAGCCTTTGACTGTCGCAATGGGACAGTTACGAATTGCTGGAGACGCCCCAAGCGGTGCCTCTGGTCCCAGTACACTCGAGCAAGGCACCGATCTCTCGGGAAGTGGCGGACCCCAAGTGGCCCAACTGGGAGTCGGTTCTAATGGGGGCAATTAGAATTACGTTTGAATGAATTCGCCGGTGGATATCTTGAATGAAGGGGAAGGAGACCTTCGCTATCCTCTCAGGCACATTACCGTTCTTCTTTATCTTCGCATTGATGCGGCGCAGCCGCTAGCTTGCCTGCGCTGCTTTTGACATATATGTCCAGTTGCCTTGCGTTCCACTCCACTTTTTAATAATTCTTTCAGAAACAGGATGGAACCACGTTATGCCCTATTCAAGCAACGTGCTACGGGCCTCGTCGCGTGCTTAGCAAGTCGAACAGAGTGACGATTTCCTGTCCCAGCTAAGCTTTTGTATTTGGTTTTTCTGGCAGTGCGTGCGGGAGGTTGACTGGATCACTGACATCTCTGTCCCTCAAGCTGTTTCCTGTATGCAGTTGTGGTTTGGCTGGCGCGGCCGAGAAGTCAAATGGGCGGTGGCGGCACGCACCAAACCAGGCTGCTTTTATTTTTGGGTAAAGGAACTGGAAAGGCATTCAATTTTACACTGAGTCACACGCACACAGACAGTGTACGTATTAGCCTTTGCAGGGTGGGCAGGAGTAAAATAGCTTCTATAGATGAGTTTCGTGCCCTCTAGAGGAGAAAGCGGACCCGGCTATATCTACGGAGCACAGCACAACGCGGCGAAGCCGAAAGAATCGTATGCATTGCTCGGATAGGTTAAGCACAATTTTTTAAACGCGCCCGAAATCTTATTTTCAGGAGCTACTTTGTTCTTGAAAGGACATAATGCTGTGGCGTCCGCCGATAGTTCATACTAACTTCCAGGCAGAAACACCACATGTTTGAGTATCGTTTTCCCTTTCGTAGCCTTCATCTGTCTACCCCGGATATAAAACGAAGCCGCATATGAACGTTTAAGCAGCATTTCAGTTCTAGTGAGGCTTTCCCCCCTTTCAAGGCAAACTAAACAAAATTTCGAGCACGCTCTCCGTACAGCTACTTTGATGACGGCATCCATTCTGCCTTTACATGAAAGGAAAAAGTGGAGAAGCTGGCGCAGATTTCGGGCTTCTTCGTTGGTCGTTTGGGGAGTGCGACAGGCGAAAACAAAATCTTTAAAGAACAGTTCATGCATCGGAAGCTACAGAAAGCGACCGCTGGAGTTTACGGGCTAGGCAGCAGCTGTGTATATGTTAACCAAATGTTTCGATTCTTAAGGCACAAAAGGGTTTTGAAGGGTTTCTTTCCTTCCTTCGCAAATAAATTAAATTTCGGGGCCGTTTTCTTATTTGGTTCGCATGACTTCACTGCGCGTATGGCGAGGGCAACTATACCGGATGCACGCCGTACTCCGGCGTGCAGTCCTCAGCCCGTACCCTAAACTCTTAAGGCTACCGCCTAGGAAGGCAACGGAATGCTGTCCATTGCTGGAAATACACCGGTTTCTGTGTTGCACAAGAATGTCAAGCTGAACAACCAAGCTTCCGTCTAAAGTATTATACACAGGAGACATTGTAAATGTTCCATTTCCATTATTCTGCGCTGAAGCCTCAGAGAGTGTGTGCTTTTGGGTGTATGGCTGAACCGAGCACGTTCATGCATGCATGTCTCTGTAGAGCAAATATTCTGCACCCCAGAATGTTCTGATTATGCCTGGGACAATACACTAGGAATGCCCTCAGCACAAGAAAAGTAGGCCACGAGTCTACGACTCGTGCAGCTTCCGAGCATTTTCTTCGAGATGGCATCCTCTCTGAGCCTGCAGTCACACCGTTTGTAGCGCATGCAGATCACGTGTAGCGAGGGTCCTCGATCGTGGCTGAGACCCGCCAAGAGAGTCAAAAATTCCAGATAGGAATTTCCGAAAAGCAGCTGACTTCCCCTCCAATCTCCAGGCTTCCTTGAAACACTGGCCCACGGCATAAGGCTGTTGCTTGGGGGAGGCGGCTACGAGCTGCAACTAGCCCTGCACGGCAACACCACATGCGAGTTCGCCTACACCCACTCTTGCAAAATTTGCTAAGTACTTGCTTTGTCCTCAATCTCCAGCCAACACGAAACAGCAATTTTACGCAGAGCACACTACATCCGCCCCGTTTCTCCCCAGAGCAGCAAATGCCCGCGTATGCCTTGTTGACCCCAACATTAGAAAAGCAGGCAAAATGAGAGGGAGAAGGGGGGCTAAAGACGTCTGGAGATGGTGTTTCGATTTGCTGCTGCCGTTTCTGAACCGCTTCACGTTGCTGGGCGCATGCTTAGTGGCTTTCTCTCTGGCCAATGAGGGCGTGCTGGGTTGGATGCCGCTTTTTGATGGGCGCATTTATATCTGGCTAAAACTATGAATTGAACTGCCTAATTGCAAAACGCCAGTGCGCGCGTGGTAAGGGGTCATACCAGCTCCAAAATGGGGGGGCCCGTTCCCAAAATGGACAAAATGGAAGTGCTGAGATCGAAGGTGCCGATGTAGCTATAGGTGAAAGCAGGGGCGCACACCACGGAAGAAGAATAATTAGTGCCGAAAAACACATAGTCAGAAAAAGATTAGCGGCTATTTAAATGTGACAGGGGAACGGCAATCGAATGGCTCACCACGGCCCAAAATTAAGCTGCGCTGCGCCTATCCACGATTGCAGTTGCTAACGCTGCGTCGAGGAGGGCGAGTAGATGTTCCTGAGGGGTTGCTTTGCGCAATTACTTTTTGGACATCTACTCGAACTGCCGATCTCCAGGACATCAAATGTAATATTCTCGTTTTCTGTGGCCTGTGCGGGTAGTTACGCGTGTGTCCATGATCTTACGCTTCTCCAATTCGTCACGCACGGTACTTTGTGAGTGCGTGTGGGCAATTTCTGTGCCTGTCATCGGGATGTATTGGGCCCTTCAAGAGCGCGGCACTGCGTCAGATGATGGAAATGCTGCTGCTTCCTGCGAGTGATCAAGCATTGCTTTTAGCCCGGGCCATCAGAAACTTTTGCTCTAACGTGAGTATGCTTTGGGACTCGCACGTAGGTGCTATTTGGGATTCGCACGTAGGTGCAAATGCGCCACTGCTCTTTCTTTGTTTTTGTCACCAGCACCGGAATGTGCCGAAAGAATCCGGTTGACGGTTGAACTTACCTCTCCTTTGCAAGTCAGTCTGTTTATCTCTCTACTTCCTCTTCAAAATGCTACAGTTGTCTTTACCTGAGAGCACCGCTTGGAGCCGTTCTAGGAATGAGTTTAATGCGGTGAATTGGGCGTCCAGCAGGTTGCCTTCCCGGTGGTATTTCCTTGTTATTCAGTACATCTGAGAGAGCTTGCTTCAACTGTGCCCACTTCTGCTGTTCCTCCGGTGTTAACTGAGACGAATCGTGTCGTCGTAAGACCATCACGACGGAGTGCATGGTATTCCAGTTTCTCCCCTGTAGCGTTTCTGCACTGCACAGGAACCTCATCGCTCTTCTTGGAACATTGATTCCATTCCCCTTCTCGTAGAGGAAGCAAACGCCGCTGATGGCGGTGAGAGATGCACTCTGCCAGTGGATCCTCGAACATGAACCTCAATAGCGTCTGCGGGGCGGCGCACCGGCGCCCTCTTCTGGGTTACCCACGGTATACCTGAATATGTCGTGGTGGGCTTGCCCAACATAAACGTCGTGTACAATGGTAGTACGACTCATTTTGGAAAATTTGCCGCGCTGTACATCCATAGTTTTGCTGATTCCCATGTCCTGTCTGCCATCGGCGAGGCATAGCCTCCAAGGTTGCGACACCGAATAGACAAATTGCTTGCACCTTACCGCCGTCGCTTCAGGCGTCAGCAAGCACACCACTTATCTCAGCCTGTGGTCAAATAACGCTAGTAACGCCTAATCACTGGTACTAACTTGATAAGGCAAACTGTTGACTCTGGGTGGATATGCAGGAGCGCCTGTCACGACATTTGTCCCCTTCCACATTCTGCGCATTGTGTGGGGTCCATGCCGTTTTCCTTTTTGTTTTGTTTGTTCTCCTGACGGCGGTGCTCGAATTCCTGCTTCTCCAATCCCAAAGCCCTTTGAATGCGCCTGCAATATCGAGTTATGTTACCTTGGTCATTGCAGAAGAAGCAGATGCACTTCAATACGTGCCGAATTTCCGTTGCTGTAGGCTACTGCTTCTTACCATCTCCCTGGCAGAGCTGGCATCCACTGATTCCTTATCAGTAGGCTCAATATTCTGGTAATTTCCAAACAGAAATGAAAGTGGTATCTTTTCTCCTTTTCGATGCATAAGTATTCCAAATTCTTGGTGCGATACACCCTCTCACCCCTTTCTTGCCTTTCTGAAGCCCATGCTGTTACCGACTATCTCCCTTACGGATTGCCCTGTAATGAACCGCTGATCTAGAAGTTTTCAGTCCGCCGTTGGACTTCCGTTCACCAAGGGCGAATACGTCTCGACTGAATGCATTGTCGACAACTTCCCATATTTAATCTTTCCTAATTCTGCCATATCCTATTCCTTTGCAAACGTGGGAACAAGCCTGCATGGCAATGCACCTCAGCAGGCCGCCGAAGTCCTGGAGAAATATTGAGAAGTGGGAACCTTGCTTAGGTATGTCCACCGAAGGCGGCTCACCCCTACTGATATCGAAGACGCCAATAGAACTTAGCCATTCGGGTACATTGTGAAGACGGGAGAACAATTCCAGAGAAGCGAAGAACTCTTCCACTGCTCTACATCTCGGCGCCGTTGTGTGGAAGGCGGTGGCATTCCCATAAATTGCCTTTGCCGTAACTTTTTGCGCTGAAGAGGATGCAGACAGTTACCTTGTTCTAACTAGAGAGGGCTCCTAACCTTGGTTTTCTTCTCTACCAGGGGGCAGATCCTGATCAATCTCCATTGAGCAGGAGGAGCGCAGGGCGGAGGTTTTAATAACGATTTTGGAATTGTATCTGAAAAATGTTTGGCCTTCACAGAACCTCCAGTACTAGTCGCTGCAATGCATCTGGCCACCCTGCTGTGGGAGTGGGGGTTGCTGCTTTCGCCTGCCCCGATGAATCATGCCGTGATACCAACTCCCTACGCGAGTCCGCCATCTTATCCGAGGAACGCTATGAGCAGCAACCGAGGCAGAAGGCTTAAGTTAGAAAGTTGATGAAAACAGCTGGCCATTCCTTCAGTCCCCAAACTTTCTGAGCACAGCGGCCTACGGTGCTGAGGCACGGGAGAGGAGGCAACCTAACACTGCAGCGCACCTTGTTGCAATCCATGGTGCAAGGCACTTTCACATGCAAGCACAACCAACCCCCAATTGCTGTCTGCACGAACACAGTAAGCAACTACTGTCCTTCTATTTGCATGCTGGCTGCCTCCTACGACCAAGCAACCGTTCATATACGAACGCCGGATAGACTACATTATACCAGCCCAGAATGCCCTGAACAGGCATCAGGCAAGGCGCCAGAAAGGCCATCAGTATAAGAGGAATAGGCAGGCAGACAGCCTAGGGCTCCCTGTAATTGATGATACCGCATTTTGTATGTTGCCTTCATACCTATTGCAGCGCGTTGAGACCAAAGGCCCGGTGAGAAGCCCCCGGATGGCTGCTTTTGCTGACGGTTAATTTGAAGGCATCAATAAGCATATTTATGCCTTTTACAATTTAATTTTAAACTTGTGTCTAAACAAACGCCGCAACAGCGCGAGCAGACCGCACATCAGCTTCACCAGGGGGCCCCTTCCCGTCCGCTGTAGACAGTCTAGTGCTGCTGCTGGCTCCAGCAACTCTAGCCTTGCTGCTGAGCACAAGACAGGATGCCCTTGCTTTTCAGCAGAGGAGTGTTGGTGCGTTTGCAGCTCAATAGATCCCACGAATTCTCCCAGGCCGAGTTGAGGTGCATGTACACCTGAAAGGCAGCCGCAGCCGGTGGATCCATAACCATTCACTGCTCCTCTCGAGACGTCTTCTACTGATTAGAGAAACACTTTGTTCTTGAAACAGTCGATGAGGGATTTAACAGACACTCTATTTTCCACGTTGCTGCAACACCCTGCGGCGCTGCACCGGACCACTGCAACAGCTGGGCTCTAGCTGTTCTCTTGCTGCCTCCGCTGCCTTTACCTCTTTTGCTACCGCTTCTGCAGCTGAGTCAGCTGCTGCTGCTGCAGCAGCAGCCACTGAGGGACGTCACGAAGGGCGGAGGTTCCCGCGCGGGAGCAGGCGTGCCGCTGCCTCCAGCCTCTCCTCAGCGCCAAGACAGGGGCAGCAGCAGCAGCGACTGCAGCCAGCAGCAGCAGTAACAGCAGCAGCAGAAGCAGCAGCAAACGGCCGCCGCAGAATGCTGTGATCTCAACGGGATGGCCTTCGCCGCCCAGTGGTCGGAAGCGCCAGTGACGGTAGAACCCACGGCAGGAAGAGTAGGAGCAGCACCAACAGCAGCAGGAACAGCAACAGCAGCAGCAGCATCAAGCACGAGGAATGGATGAATTGCCTCTCACGCCGCAGAAGCTGCGGAAGGTGCAGCAAGTGGCGGAGATCGCTTGCCTCCCGGAGCAGCTTGCTGTGGCTCTTCTTGTTTCATCATGCTGGAGCGTACAGGTCAATTTGCTGCTCCTACTGCTGCTGCTATACCTGAGCCTTTGCTGCTATTATCCTTTACTTGCTGCTGATCGTGTGCGGCAGCGGCTTTTTTGTTCGTTTCCTGCTGCTGGTGCTGCTGCTGCTGGTTGTTTCTGTGCCTACACCTGTGCGTGTGTTTGTGTGTATCTGTGTTTGCGTGATGCAGTTGCAGCGCTTAGTTAGTTTTTATTGTTTGTTGTTTGTCGCTGTGTTGCTGCTGGCGCGCTGTGTGTGTATAATGCGGATGTGTGGGGTGTGTGTGGGGTGTATGTACAGCGCGCGCTCTCTCTCCACCTTGAAGGGCGTTTCTGGCGCCTCTTTGGTTTACGTCGGTGTCCCCCCGGGCCTCAGACTTTACCTCCTTCGTTAGTATTATCCGTTTGGGATGCAAGAGGAGTTAAGCACAACGGCTCTTACAGAGTTGCAGTCGAGTGCGGCTCGGCTTGCCCCAGACAGAGCAACTGGGTAGAAGGTAGAGAGCCCTGCTGCTCCCTCTGCTGCTGCTTGCATGCTGCTGCTGCTGCTGCTCCTGCTCTTATTGCCAGCTGCGGCTGCTGCTTCTATAGCCAGATGCTGCTGCTGCTGCTTCTATAGCCAGCGGCATGCTGGCCGCTGCTCTTGCTGCTACAGCTTGCTGTTGCTGTTTCTGTCGTGACTTTAGCTGGCTGCTGCTGCGTGCATGCTGCTGCTTCTGTTGCTGCTGCAACCTGCTGTTGCTGCTTCTGTTGCTGCTTGCATGGCGCTGCTGCTTGCATGGTGCTGCTGCTTGCATTCTTCTGCAGCAGTTGAGGCTGCATTTATCTGGCTTACCCTGTTGGGAGGGTTGCTGCTGCTGTGTGGCGGAGCTGTCCATACACCGCGTTTGTTGGTGCTGCTGCGATGACCTCAGGGACGAAGGCTCTTGTCTCGCTGCAGTTTACCTGCGGTCTCCTTGGAGTGTCTCCTAGAGAGCAGCTGAAGTTCTCTCTGTGGAGACGGAGGCTCATGGTCAGCTCTCAATCCTCTACTGCTGCTGCTGCTGCTACTGCTGCTGCTGCTGGCGACTGTCTGCTCGTGTGCCTTTGCCTCCCGGCTGTAGTCGGTCCTGTGGAAGCTCTTCTGCTGCTTCGCTGGTTGCCTGCTGCTGCTGCAGCAGCGGTTCGTGGCGGATACTGCTTTTGCGTGCTGCTGCTACTGCAGTATGCTGCTGCTGTTGCTGCAGCAGCAGCAGCAGCAGCTTGGGGCATTGTTATTATGTCTCTCGCTGCTGCTCCCTTTATGCCTTTTTTCTGTCTCATGTTTCTTCCGCTAGCCACTCCCTGTCGGGTTACAGGAGTTGAGGGTTTAGGGTTTAGGGTTTAGGGTTTGTGTGCAGCAAGATGACAAGTGCGTGGGCGTCGCGTACATGGCTTGCTGCCTGATTCCTCATGAAGTGACGAGTGTTAGTCGTTTGCCTTTGGAGCACAAGTCTAGAAGAAGTGGGGTTTTGATGATTGAGGCTTTTCGCTTTCTCCCCAGGATCCCTGCAGCAGCAGCAGCAGCTGCAGCAGCAGCAGCTGCTGCTGCTGCTGCTGCTGCCGCTGCCGCTGATGATGGGGCCGATGCTCCTCCCCCTTTGGGCTCGTCTTCGCCTGCTGCTGCAGCTGCCACGAAGCAGAAAGTACGCAAGCAGCAGCAACAACAAAGACCAACAGCAAACCGTAACCCCCTCCAAGCGTCCGCACCCAGCCTCGCAGCAGGTGCAGAAGCATCAGCTGCTGCTTCTGGGAAGCTCCAGCAGCAGCAACAGCCAGACAACTCTGCTGCAGCAAACCAGCAAACAGGCTGTAGCAGTCCCTTTGTGGACCTCCTGGAGCTGTTTGACTCCGCAGAAGAGCGGCAGCAGCAGCAGCAACAGCAGGAGCAACAGCAGCAACAGGAGCAGCAGCAGCAACAGCAGCAACAGGAGCAGCAGCAGCAACAGCAGCAACAGGAGCAGCAGCAGCAACAGCAGCAGCAACAGCAAACAGACCAGGAAAAGGCAATTCCACACGACAGTCAAATTCCTGCCGCTGCTAACGGCGAGGCTTTGCAGGAGCTGATGCTGCTAGAGGGATCGCTGCAGCAGCAACTGTCTCTCCAAAAGCAGCAGCAGCAGCAGCAGCATCAGCAGCAGCCTTCCGTGCAACAAGAGGGATCACTAGAGCCGCAGCTGCCTCTGCAGAAGCCGGCATATATAGAGCAGCAGCAACACAAGCAAGAAGAGTCGTCGCTGAATAACCGGGAGGAGTTGCAGCAACTGCTTTCACTACAGACGGAGCAGCAGCAGCAACAACAGCAGCAACAGCAGCAACAGCAGCAACAGGAGCAGAAGCATCAGGAGCCTCCTGTGCCGAAACGGCACCCATCAGGACAGCAGGAAGCTCCACCCCTTCAGAATGAACAGCAGCAGCAGCAGCAGCAGCAGCAGCCTCGTTCCTATGCAGCTCTGGATGCCCTTTTCTATGCGGACGTGGCTGCCCATTGCAGAGACCCCGCGACAGCAGCAGCAGCACGATCTGCTGCTGCCGCTGCTGCTGCTGACTTGCCCCCTGCTGTGAGGCAGGAGTTGCTGCAAAAGATAACTCAGTCTCCTCCGGAGCTGCATCCGCTGCAGCAGATGCAGCTGCAGCTGCAGCTGCAACAGGAGGGCCAGCAGCAGCAGATAGCATATGGAGCCCCTGCACCAGTAGATAGAGGACAGCAGCAACAGATGCTACCCTTGGGGGCTGCTGCGTCTCTTTTGGCGGACGGACCGCAGGCAGCCGCTGCTGCTAGTGCTGCTCCCGCTTCTCCTGCTGCTGCTGCTCCTGTCGCTGCTGCTCCTGCTGCGCCCCACGACGCTGCAGAGACGGCTTCCGCAGTCTCACGGGGTGTGCGGGGGGAGGCTTACCCTGAAGATACCGGCAAGAAGCTTGACGCAGCCACAGCAGCAAATGAAGCAACAGCGGCAACTGCAGCAACAGCACCTGCAGGGACGACCATACCGGCTGCGGCAGCAGAAGCACTTCCAGCAGCAACACAGCCACCGCCAGGTGCAGCACAAGCTGCAGCAAGCGCAACAAATGCTCAAGGCGCATCAGCTCCTGCTGCAGCAGAATCGCCTGCCGTGGCTCCTCCTAGAGAGCATCCCCCCGCAGCTGCACCTGCTGCAGCTGCTTCTGCTGCACTTGCACCTGCTGCAGCTGCTTCTGCTGCAGCTGCTCCTGGAACTGCTGGAACTGCTGACGTTGCTCCGGCTACAGCACCAGCTGCACCTGGAGCTGCTTCTACTGGGCTTGCTGCTGCTTCAGGTGCTGCTGCTACTGCACCAGCTGGTGATAAGACAATATCTAGCGAATCAAAACATTTAGAGTCATCCGCGAAGGAATATGAGGACAAGGGATTGCAGCAGCAGAGGCCAAGAGAGGAGGAGTGGCAGCAGCAGCAGCAGCAGCAGCAGCAGCAGGCCCCTCGGTGGCCGGCGGGGGGAGGCGTTGATACTGCAACTCCAGCAGCAGCAGCAGCAACACCCGCAACAGCAGCGGCAACAGCAGCAGGAGATACACCTGGAGCAGCAGCAGAAAACGGCGACTGGCCACCACCCCGCAGGCCTGCGGCGTGGCTCCCCACGCCTCCTGTGGGGAATTTCGTCTTCAAACAGCAGCAACAGCAGCAGCCGCAGCGGCAGCAGCAGCAGCAGCAGCCACACCAGCAGCCCTACCAGCTGCAGGCTCCGCCCTTGTCACACCATTTGTACGTCCAGCCGCAGCAGCTGCAGCAACAACCACACCTGCAGCAGCACCCGCAGCAGCAGCAGCAGCAGCATCCGCATCAGCCGCAGCAGCAGCAGCAGCAGCCGTCTGGAGTCCTTTTCCCTCCAGCTGCTGAGCAGCAGCAGCCTCTGCCACAACAGTCGGTGCCACCGCAACAGCAGCTGCAACAACAGCAGCAGCAGCAGCAGCAGCTGCAGCAGCAGCAGAGCTTTCCCCAGCCTATGTGGCCTCAGCAGCCGCACCAGCTGCAAAGCGCACACCCGCAAGCGCCTCCGCAGCTGATGCAGCAGCAGCAACCGCAGCAGCAGCAGCAGCAGCCACAGCAGCAGCCACAACAGCAGCAGCTAACGAAGAGGCTCTTTAGTGTCTTCAATCCATTCCCCGAAAAACAACGCCCACAGCCCTCACCCGGAGAGCCAGAGCAGCCAACGGTGAATGCGCAGCAGCAGCAGCAGACGCAGCAGCAGCAGCAGCAACAACCACCAACACACCAACCGCAACAAATGCCGCCAGCTCCTCCTCCGCCGCCCCACCAGACACAGCAGCTGCATCAACCACAGCAGCAGCAGCAGCAACCACAGCAACAGCAGCAGCAGCACATTCCGGATGGCGAGAAGAAGCGGACCCTCTTCACGCTCCCCTTCCGGCTGCGTCGCGGCGCAGGAGGCAGCAGCAACAGCGGCGGTGGTGCTACTGCTGCATATACACCTGAAGCTGCTGCAGCTGCAGGTCGGCAAGCCTCCGAGACCGGAAGAGGAGAGAAGCCAGCCGACTACGGGGAGCAGCAGCAACAACAACAGCAGCAGGCAGAGCAGCGGGTGGCGCACTATTGGCCATTTGGAGCTCACAGGGAACCTGCAGAAGCAGCAGAAGCAGCAGCAACAGCAACAGATTCTCCAGGAGGCACTCCCCGTCTGTCATCCCACTGTTTCCCTGCCGAGTTTCCTGAGTCTGTGCCTGCAGCAGCAGCAGCGCCAGCAGCAGCAGGGAAGCCTGCTGCTGCTGTGGCTGTTCCGCAGTTCCCGGCTGCAGCAGATGACGACCCTTTTGAGTTTCACTTTAAATCCCCTGTCTCTGCAGCAGCAACACCACCGCCAGCAGCAGCAACAGCAACAACAGCAGCAGCACCAGCAGGAGCTATCCGTTCTCCATCGCAGCACCGCCGCATGTGGTCGCCATTCCCAAGGCTCCCCGATGAGCCGCAGGGCGAAGAAGACGAGCAGCAGCAGCAGCAGCAACAGCAGCAGCAGCAGGAGTCACAGGAGGCAGAGCAGTGGTGGGAGCTCTCCGGACGCGAGAAAGTTCGTGGAGAGACGTTTAACAGAGGAGGGAGGCAGAAGCACCAGCAGCAGCAGCAGCAGCAGCAAACGGAGTCACGGCGATCGCCAGCGTTGCAGCGGGACCTGCAGCAGGACCGCCCGCAGCAGGAGCCAGAGCACAAGCAGCAGCAGGACGAGTCGCAGCAGCAGCAGCAACAGCAGCAGCATCAGCAGAAGGGGGGAGATCAGCCACTGCAGCAGCAGCAGAAGCAGGAAAGCGATGATGTGCAGCAGCACATGCACTCTTGGCAGCGCTCTGTCTCCTTCAGCCCTTTACAGTCCCATGATGTATCGGAGGAGCCCCACACCTCGCGCGCTTCTCCGTTCAGAAACTCTGCGGCTGATGCTGCAGCGGATGCTGCTGCTGCTGCTGCACGAGGCACTGCTGCAGCAGCAAAGCATGGGAAGAAGAAGGAGCACCAGCAGGCGTCGCGCAAATCCAAACACCACAAAAGGACTGCTGCTGCTGCTGCTGCTGCTGCTGCTGCTGCAGGTCAAGGCACACAAGATGAGGGCCTCCCTACGGAGTGGGAAGAGGCCTGGTGGGATGCTGAGGCAGCAGCAGAAGAACCAGACGTAGCTGCTGCAACAGAGCAGCAGCAGCAGCAACAACAGCAGCAGCAGCAACAGCAGCAGCAGCAGCAAGAACAGGCGTTGGCAAAGATGCATGAACGAAGGCAGGCGGTTGAGGCACGCAGCCCTCTTCAGGGGAGTCACTATGCCACCATCTCAAAACCGCAGCAGCAGCAGCAACAGAAGCAGCACCGCAGCAGTATGCAACAGCAACAGCCGCCGCCTCAAGTGCAGGAATACGCTAGCCTGCAGCTGCAGTACCCCTCTCAACAACTCCAGAGTCTGCAATACCAACACCAAGTCCAGATGCAGCAGCAGCGGCTGCAGCAGCAGCAGCAGCAAATGCAGCAGCAGCAACTGCAGCAGCAGCAGCTGCACCTGCAGCAACAGCTGCTGCCAGGGCAGTCGCTCCCTTCGGGAGATGCGCAGCAAACTCCGGCCTTCGCGCTTCCAATGGGGAACGTAGTGAAAGACTCGCAGCAGCCGTGGCCTGTGGGGCCGCTGCAGCAGGCTGCTGCTGCAAATATGCAGCAGCAGCAACAACAACAGCAGCAGCAATACCCGAAGCAGCACCAGCAGCAGCACAGATACCCGCCAGCTGCGCCGACCCACCCAAACGCTTCTTCCCAGACAGAGCACCCTTACGCGGCTGGGATGCTGCTGCTGCTCCATCAGCAGCAACAACATCAGCAGCAACAGCAGCTAGAGAAGCTGCAGCACCAGGGGCCGATGCAGCAGGAGCTCCCGTACCCTGGAGCTCCGCATGCACTGGCGTTTGCTCCGCAGCAGCAGATGCAGCAGCTGCAGCAGCAGATGCAGCAACCGCTGCCGCAGCAGGTGCAGCAGCAGCAACAAGTGCCGTTGCAGGAGCAGACGGAACAGCAGCAGCACTACCTGAAGGAGCAGCGAAGCCGCCATCGGCGACGCAAACATCAGCAGCAGCAGCAGGAGCAGCAGCAGCTGACGCACCAACAAATGCACATGCAGCAAGCAGCATACCCGCAGGCACTACTGCAGCAGCAGCAGCAGGAACACCAGTCTCAGCATGAGCAGATGCATCGACCTCCACAGCAGCAAGTTCCGCTGCAGCAGCTCTCCCAGCAGCAGCTGCAGCAGCAACAGCAGCAGCCGCAGCTTTCAGTGCATTTCCAGCAGCTCGCAGGGCCTCAGGGAGGGCAGCAGCCGCTGCAGCAGTTGCCAGCGCAGAGCCCCTGGGCGCAGCAATTTCAAATGGCCCAACAAGTGCACCAGCAGCTGCAGCAGCATCCGCAGCACATAGTGCTTCAACAGCAGCAGCCGCTGCTGCAGCCTCAACAGCAGTACCTGCAGCAGCAGCCGCTGCACCAGCAGCAACACCAGCTGGGATGGCCTGCGTATGTGGGGAAGGTTCAGGCGCCCATGCAGCAACAGCTTCCGCCTCAGCAGCAGCAGCAGCAGCAGCTGTTGCTGCAGCAGCAGCAGCAACCAGTGCCCGTTAGCCGCAATCCGTTTGCGCAGCCACGCAGCAACCGGTATGCTGCTGGGGCGCATGTAGGTGCTGCTGCTACTCCCTTTTAGTTTGTTTCTTTGAAATATGTTGCTCCGGATTCTGCTGCTGTTGCTGCTGCTCCTACTGATGCTGCTGTCGCTGCTGCCACTGCTGGTACTGCAGCTGTGTGCGTTAGAAAGTGCTTGTGTAGCTAGCCAGTTAGCTATCAATTGCGGAAGCAGCAAACCAACAGACGCTGCAGCGAATTGCTACCGCGCCTGGGCGTGCTGCTGCTGCGGCAACTGCAGAGGTTTCTGCTGCTGCTGCTGCAGCTGCTGCAGCTCCTGCTGCATCACAAGGGCAAAGCGTTCCGAACTCAGGTATTGACAGTCCCTACAGGTAGACTAGCTGTCCATACACTGCAGGAGAGCGACAATAGCAGCAGCAGCAGCAGCAGCAGCAGCAGCAACAGCAGCACTTGCGAAACCGTAATATTGGCATATTCTCTGAACCGCCACACAGAGGCGCTGTGCAGCAGCAGCAGCAGCATGTACACCAGCAGCAACAGCAGCAGTAGCAGATATGTAATTAGCATTGGTAGGTGTGGGCAGTTGCCCTAGAGACAACTAAGGAGACAGCTCGCTCTGAATAAAACAGACAGAGACAGACAAAAACAGAGACAAAAAAAGATAAAAAAGAAACAAAGACATGAAGACGGACACAAAAGACAGATGAAGACAGATTGAAAGACAGGAACGGAGAGAGAGAGAGAGAGAGAGAGAGAGAGAGAGAGAGAGAGAGAGAGAGAGAGAGAGAGAG